TGCTGAATATTTAGCAGACCAACGCGCGCTTTTTCTCTGCGTCTCGTTGACCTGCTAAATAGCTAGCAGACCCACTAGAGACGCAGAGAAGTAGACATTGGTCTGCTAATGTTTGAAAAATCGTTGGCCTACTAAATAATTAGCAGACCCCTTTATCTGCGTCTCTTCAAGCTTCTTCCTATTGGGCACTTGCGTTGAGAGACGCAGAGAAGCAGAAAGAACGTTGGCCTGCTAATTAATTAGCAGACCCATTTTCCACGTGGCGCGCCTTAAAATCTCTCGTTTTCACCCGATTTCCTTGATTTCTCCACTAGTTTGACCCAAATTTTCCGCTATTTTCAGATCAACACCGTACTCCAACTGTCACTGGTCGCTCTCGCCCTGGCATCCCCAGTTTTTGACTTCTCCGTCGCCGCCAACGAAGCGATTTTCGCTTTGGGATGCGCCACTGCCGTCACTACCGTATACTCGGGGCTACAGTATGCCAGTGGAAAGGCCATCAAAAAACTTTGAATCTAATTTAGTCTGGAAATACTGTGATCTGTTTTTTGTTGTTTTTTTTTTAAATTATGTACTGTTTTTTTTTGGAATATACAAATTTTGCGATTTCCAGCTGATTTCATCACATCCCATCTTTAAAAACCATTCATCCATCCATCAAGAGTATGACTGATGACTCATTTCCCGTCTTCCTTTCCCCATCCCATCGTCTTCTTTGGGTTCTCCTCGCTTTCTCTCTCATCCTGCGTCTCCATTGATCGGCACACTCTCTCGTTTACAAGCAGTTTCTCTGCGTCCCTCGCTTCTCCATGATCTTTCGATTCTCTCCATCAGGCCACCCCAACCCAAAACATACACAGAGCGAGATGGATGGAAACGAACAATTTCTCGATGTTTAGTATTTCCCTCCGTTTTTACACTAGATTGGTCTGCTAAATATCTAGCAGACCTAAATCACACATGGCTTTTTTCTCTGCGTCACAGTGGTTTGCTAAATAATTAGCGAATAACATTCATCAAATTCTGTATGTCCGGATGGATGTCGCGCGCCTTTTCACCCACTCAAAGTTAAGCGATTGAGCTGAAATTTAGTCAGGCGAATCAGAAGTTTTTATTAGTTGGTGCCCAAACTTTTATTTTTTCGAAGTTTTGGTTTTGAAATCTTCTGGAGACGTTCCTTTGGTCTGCTAAATAATTTGCAGACCCAAATGAATTTTCAAGACATAAATCTAAGATTTTCTGGGTTCCAAATGAGTCATTTTAAACGGTTTTTTCTAGAATTTTCGGGTTTTTATTTGATTTTCATATTAAGTTCCTCCTCTTTTCCTATTCCTCACCTCAAATAGAACCGAGCACAAAAAGGACAATTGGATTTTTCGGGGCGGCCCGAAAAAAAACGACGATTCGTCATTGTTTTGTTTTCTATCTCCTGTTCTACCGTTAGATTTTTCTATTTCTGGCTATTGTTGCAAATACGCTCTATTAAGAATTCATTTACCAATAGAGCGAATTTGTTGTACAGAAATATTAAAACTATTGTGTTGATGGAGTACAAAGTTTGTTCACAAAAAAACGGATGGAGCAAAATTCGTTTTTTAGTTGCTCAAAAATTTTTTCCAATTTTTTTTGGAAATATTTAAATAAATTTTTCAATATGAACTAGAATTTTCCAATCCAGACAACTTGTTGTTATCTTATCATGATTTTTAGTATGTTCTCTTCTTCTTCTTTTATGATGTTTGTTTGTATGTGTCCTTATGACTCATTCCCTCCCTTTTGTATCCATCCCGTCCTTCTTTACCTACTTGGTGTATTTCGCAGAAGATGTTTTTAAAAAAAAAATCTCTAAAACATTTTAGAAAAAAAATGATTTTGAGTATTTCGCAAAATATTTTTTTGAAAAAAAAATCTTTAAAATTTTTCAGAAAAATTATGACAACACCGGTACCAAAACCAAGAACAAAATTTGCAGAAGGTCTCAGCCCAAATAGTAATAATCAGGTAATTTTAATGTAAAATCTTTTCCGGGTTTTTTAATATATTAGGGTTTAAAGATTTTTGGGCATTTAAGAATTTGTATATTTTCTGAAATTTCAGGAATTTATGGGTTTTCCAAATTTCAGGATGTTTAGATTATTATAATTTTAGGATTTTTCGAATTTTTGGGATTTCTAGGATTTTTAAAGTTTTAGGGATATTAGGGAATTTCAGGATTTCAATGATTTTAGTTTTAAGGATTGATGATTCTAGTTTTAGGGATTTTTAGCATTTTTGAAGCCTTGGGATTTTTGGGATTTAAAAAATTTTCAGATTTTATAATTTTTGGGATTATAAGGATTTTAGAGTTTTTATATTATTTGGATATCAGGCTTTCAAGATTCTTAGAATTCTTGGGATTTTCAAGATTCTTAGGACTTTTTCGGTTTTTTTGGTTTTTAGGATTTCTAGGATTTTTGTAGTTTTAGGACTTTTCGGATTTGTAGCATTTTTGTATTCTTTTTTTGAATTTTGGATTTTCAATATTTTTAGGATTTTTGAGTTTTAGAATTTCTGTATTTTTGAATTTTTTGAATTAGGATTTTTTCAAATTTTTTGATTTTTCGGATTTCTTAGACTTTTAGAATCTCAAGAATTTTCAGGTATTGAAAATTGAATTTCCATCTGCACGCAATTGCGCTCCAATGCAAGCTTTTTAAATTTCAGACCCCCGAACCTCCCACGTCTTCTACACCGCCTTCTGAATCCCAACCATCAGAATCCACATCAGAAAATGTGCTCCATCGCCCTCGAGAGATTTCAGAAGTCCCGCCTCCAAGAATAACACCTCCAGAAGTTCCCCCTCGTCCACCTGCAAAACCACCACGTGCCATGTCTTCCTCAGCGGCAGTTATTCAAAATTTTGGAAATGTTCTAGGAGAACTAAAATTGAATCTGGGTGAAACTCCAAAACCAGCCCCAGAAATTGGGTTCCATGACCCAGAAAATATTACAATGAGTCCTCCACAAAGACACGCCCCGCCCCCTCCAAGACCTCCACCACCGGCTGGTTGGAAACCGGAACTTCAGAATCCACAGATTCCAGAAAGAGTATCCTCCCATTCAAAGTGAGACATTTTCGAAAAAATCTCAATAGAGCGCACATTTTCAGCAGACCCCTTCCTGCACTCCCTATTGATTTTATCGAGTTAACACCGGCGAATTCTGGACCATCCACGTCATCATCGAGTACTCCTCAAACTGTCGAGAATCCGTTGTATTTGTCTTTGGATGCATACCGAGCGATTTCAGGGATCACACCATCCCCATCGCATCGTGAGTAAAAATTTTCTGAAAATAGAATTCATCAGAGAAATTTTGAGCCTAGTTTGGTGTCTCTACGACAAGTTTGTGCCATGTTATGAAGCATTTTAGGTTTGGGTCTGCAAATTATTTAGCAGACCAATGCTCCCTGACTCTCTGCGTCTCGTTGGTCTGCTAATTATTTAGCAGGCCAACGCGATTCACTCGAACATTAGGCCAACGAGAAGCAGAAAAAAAGAGAGAGCTCGTTGGTCTGCTAAATATTTAGCAGACCAAAATCTTATTTCCTCCGTAACTCGCTTCAAACTCAACGTAGAACAATGATTTTTGACTCATTTTGCAGCATTTTTTCTGCCTAATTTTTTCAAATATACTTTCTAAACTTTCACTCTATTTAATCCCCAATTTCGATGTAAAAATCCAAATATTCCAGCCCCCACGACATCTCCAGACTGCGAAGACCTTCGAGAATGGCTCACAGAAGAGGAGGAAGCTGAAACCCTCTGCTCATCCAATCGCCCAGACGACCTAAATTCCAGCATCCCAGCTCCGTCCACTTCATCCCGCCCATCTTTAGGATCTTCTTCTCATGAAGAGAATCCCTATACCCCATGCCCTCGTAGAAGTGACTACACGGATTCTGAATTCCTTGGCACCACCATCGATCCATTTGATGACAGCTTCTATCACACGTCACCAACGACGTCTCGGAATTCTTCAACAAATCAGAATCTCTACGTGTCACCGCAGTTTGAGAAGAAGAATCTGGAAAACGGTTGGGATAATGTGGTGGAGGCTTGCGCGACGCCCAGTCCAAAACCCAGTCATATCTATGTGAATCTGCCAGACACTGCCACGTCATCAGATGTGACAGTTTCAGAAGGATTTCCAGAAAATGGGGCTATTAAAATTGATGGAAGCTCGATTTCCTATATGGGAGCAGTGACATTGAAAAGTGTAGGTTGAGAGAAAAACATAATTTTTAAAATAAAAATTTTATAAAAATTTAAATTTTCAGACAAAGAAAGAGAAAAGATGCAACGGAAGATTCAGGAACATGCAGCTCAGCTTTTTCAATGAAGATGACGATTCTGAAGACACGTGTCTCTTGGGACCATTCGATGTCAAAGACTTTTATATGATTCGAAAGATTGAATCGTCTTCAGAATCCTCATCAATTCTGATCCACGTAGGAGAGAAGCGTCACGTCATCTCATTCATTGAGGAGCCACTTTTCACCTCCTGGATGTTTATTCTAGCCGAAGCATGGCTGACAATCAACTGTAAATTAACGGCGGTGCTGAAAAACGATCACGAATTCGGAATTTGTGGATCCACGTGGATTAAGTACGGAACAACTGGAGAATGGAAGTGTTGTGCGACTGCGATCAACAAGATGACACTGATTTATATGTTATCAGAGTCTAGAGACCGAGTTTTCAAAAGGAATAGTCAAGATGAGTCGGCTGATGAGTTGGTGGAAGTGGATCTTCGAAAAGTGATGACGATGAGAGAACGAATTGATAAAAGCGAATGGTGTCCAAGTGTGAAGCATAAGAGGGGACCGTTTTCGATTACACTTCATGGAGTGTAAGTTTGAAAATTAGTTGCAAAAAATTAAGCGAAAAAATGCTTCAAAATGAGCCAAAAATCATTGTTCTACGTTGAGTTTGAAGCAAATTATGGAGGAAATAAGATTTTGGTCTGCTAATTATTTAGCAGGCCTAAATTCTACGTTTCCAAACAATAGCAGGACAACGAGACGCAGAGAGGTGAGAGAGTTGGCCTGCTAAATAATTAGCAGACCAATGTGCTCCCTTCTTTCTCTGCGCCTCGTTGGTCTGCTAAATAATTAGCAGGCCTAAATTTCACGTAACGCGTTGGGATGCTATTGAGAGTCGCAGGGAGGTGAGAGTGTTGGTCTGCTAAATAATTAGCAGACCTACGCTCTCGCTTTTTCTGCGTCTCTCGATAGCAGGCTAATTTGAGTGTGGGCCTGCTATTGAGAGACGCAGCGAAATCGAAAGCATTGGTCTGCTAAATGATTAGCACACCAAAATCTTATTTCCTCCATAACTGTGCTCAAAATCAACGTAGAAATGTGATTTTAAGCTAATTTTGCAGCATTTTTAACGTTCTTTCTTTCAAAATACAATTCTAAAACATTCAAAATTTTTAGAACTCTCTACATTGACTCTCGTGACGACGCTACCACCACTCAATGGTACGAGGCTATCGATAGTATTCTGAAGCAGCCAGCAAAAATTCTGGAGAATTTCCGACTCACTGGAGATAATATTCCAGTGGTAAGCCGCCCAGATTGTCAATAGAGCGCATTTTCCATTTTCAGATTGTCGACAAGTGTATCAGATTTGTGTCTGCGTATGGGATGAAGTCAGAAGGAATCTATAGAAGAAATGGAAAAGTTACAGAGGCTAAAACGATAACAACGAAATTGACAGAAGGTACAGTAACCCAAAAAAAAAAATTTTTTTCATTCTACAGTAAGAAAGGTCACATTCTACAGTAAGAAAGGTCAGGATCCCAATCAGATTTGATATTATCCATTGTCGGGTAGTCACCACTTGCCACTTTCAGTCCTTTTGCAATTTTTTGCTCCTTTTCGTTTAGGGGGATTTTTCGAGGCGCCTGAAATTTAGAAAATAAGGTTCGACAGAAAATTTAGGCCAAGTTCAAGCTTTCTATGATGGCATTGAGCGGAATTATCAATATAGCGAATTTGCATTTCAAATTTTTTAAAGTGAGATTCACATGGTGTTTGATGTGAAATTTGATTTCCAAACGATTGTGATCAAAATGGGAATTCTATCTTTAAAACTAAACCAGATATGGGCAAACTATCGATAGAGCGAATTTGCGATTTAAAATATTTTTATTGGGATTTACATGGTTTTCGATGTGAAATTTGATTTCCGAACTATTACGATCAAAACAAATGTTCTATCTTCAAGACTGGCCTAGACATTGGTGAATTATCAATAGAGCGCGTTTTCATCAAAAATAGTTTAATTGAGATTTACATGGTTTTCGATGTAAAATATGATTCCCAAATGATTGCGATCAAAATAAAAGTTTAATTTCAAAACTAGAAAAGATATGACCAAATTATCAATAGAGCGAATTTGCATTTCGAACATTTTTTTCTTAGATTTACATGTATTTCAATGTAAATTTCGGTGTTCATTAGATTGCAATCAAAATAATAGTCCTATCTTGACTAAATTCTCATTGGAGCACACTTACATCCTCTGGTAAATCGTCTTTCCGTTTGTTCGCTGATCTTCTTGGCTCCCGATCTTGACTTCTTCTTTTTCCTCTCTTCTTCTTCCTTCTCTTCTTCTTTTTCTTCTTTTTCCGTTTTTCAGAATCACTGAGCTCTTCTAGAAGTTCTAAAAGTTGAGATTCCAATTCCGTTTTTATCTCCGTCTCTCCTTTTTTCGTACTCTCTTTTTCTGATTCCTCGACGTCATCTGGTTTTTTACGGCCTTTTTTTTTGCATATGAAAATTAGAAGAGAAGACGTTAGAAAGATTCCAAAAACATGAAGAAAGCCAGCGAAAAATGTCGATGGATTCATTTAGAAATAATGATTTTGGCATTTTAAAATCCACGAAAATCTAGGTTTTTGTTAAAGCTGTGTTCCTTCTAGGTTATGGTCCAATTTGCATTAGAGCGCATTTTCATTCAAAGATGTTTTGAATAAGATTTGTTAATTGTTCCAATGTAAAATTTGATTTCAAAGCGATCCCAATAAAACCCTCTGCTTCTTCAAAAATAACAGAGTTATGACTAAATTTGCATTAGAGCGCATTTTCATATAAATATGTTTTGTATCAGATTTGTAACTTTTCTGATGTAAATTTTATTTAAAAGCGAATCTAATAAAAGTCAAGTCTCTACCTTCAAAATAACAGAGTTATGAGCAATTTACATAAATTATCAATAGAGCGAATTTGCAGATCCTGTCGGCTACTACCCTGTTCAAGAAAGTGATGAAACGGTGTATGCAGTGGCTGATGTCTTAAGAACATTTTTCCGAAAAGTCGAAATCCCATTATTTCCATTATCTAATCAACCGGAACTTTTCAAACTTGGTGGGTTGAAAGTTTTATTAATAGAGCGAGTTTGCATTTTTTTAGAACTTGATATTCATTTTGACAGCTATATTAAATATTAAAGCGCTATATGTGAAATTAACAAGGAATATGGAGGAATTCTCAATGGAAAATATGGAGGAATTCTCAATGGAGCGAATTTGCACTTCAATTGATATTTTTTTGGTTTTCGATCTAAATTCATATTTCCAAGCGATTGCAATCAAAATAAGAGTCATGCCTTCAAAACTAAACGAGATATGACCAAATTATCAATAGAGCGAATTTGCAATTAAAAATTTTTTATTGAGATTTACATAGTTTTTGATGTGAACTTTGATTTCCAAACGAATGCGATCAAAATAAAAGTCCCATTTTTGAAACTAAAGGAGATATGGCCAAATTATCAATAGAGCGATTTTACACTGTGATTTTTTTCAAATTCAAATTCAATTTAATTTCAGCCCAAGAATCCCAATCGCTGGATCTCTTCAAACAGTATGCAGTGGAGATCAAAAAGTTCCCAATCGTCCATTTTGCGACGCTGAAAAAACTAATTGGTCATCTGAGAAATGTGTCGGAGCACGCACTGGAAAACAGAGCAAGTGTGGAAAATTTGTCAAAAGTTTTCGCCGCGAGTCTTTTTGTAACGGACCAAATGACAGAGGATGGAAAACAAGTGTTCAGCGAGAGCTACAATCATCAAATCAATGTTATGATTCATTTGATCACGGGTTACGACACCATTTTTCAGGTACAGTAATCCTCTTTTTGTGAAAAATTATATATTTTACTTTTAGATCAGCATCGAGGAGGAACTATCCCGTCAAATTGTTAACGACGCAGAGAAGAAGTCGGTGAACGCGGTGAGCCAAATTTTGGGTATTTTTCTAATTAGCAGGCCCAAAAATAGAATAAAAAATTCTGCAAAACGAGCCAAAAATCCTTTCTCTACGTTGATTTTGAAGCGAGTTAAGGAGGAAATAAGATTTCGGTCTGCTAGTTATTTAGCAGACCAACGAGCTCTCTCTTTTTCTGCTTCTCGTTGGCCTGCTAAATAATTAGCAGACCAACGAGACGCAGAGAGTCAGAGAGCATTGGTCTGCTAAATGATTTGCAGACCCAAACCTAAAATGCCTCCTGCTAATGTTCGAGTGAAGCGCGTTGGCCTGCTAAATAATTAGCAGACCAACGAGAGACGCAGATAGTTAGGGAGCATTGGTCTGCTAAATATTTAGCAGACCAACTCTCTCGTTTCTCTGCGTATCTCAATAGCAGGCCAAACNTCTCGATGTGGTTGCTACTGTCCGAGTGAAGCGCATCCTGCTAAATATTTAGCAGACCACTTCTCTCGTTTCCCTGCGTCTCGCTACAACATTAGCAGACCAAAATCTCATTTCACCCACAACTCTCTTCATTTTCAACGTAGAGCAAGGATTTTGGGCTCATTTTGCAGCATTTTTCTGTTTTTTAATTCTCATTACTTAACAATCCCAATATATTGATTTTCAGAAAAAACCAAGTCCCGACTTGATAGTTGCCATCCACGTGTGGGAAAAAGAGAACCGCCCATTCAATGTGAAAATGTCGTTGGCCAGCGAGGAAGTGTGTCGAGAGGCGATCGCAAAACGTGGATTCGACGGACCGCCCGACTCGCCGTACGCTGTTTTCGAGTGTATTGCTGATGGACATTTGGTTAGAAGACTTCCCCCGTCACACAAAGTATCCAGATGTGTAATGCAATGGATTGATTGGAATTGTAAAGATGGATTCTTACTGTTCGATCATGACAAATTGAGATTCGATGGAAAGGATATGTCAGTGTTTACTGGAAAGGTCAAGGTGGCCGAACCCGGATCGAAAACTTTCAAGTCGTACGAGGCGAAAATTGAAAATGGAACTTCGGTGAGTAATTGGTACCAAAACCAACCCAATACAACAAAAATTAACCGAGATACACGCAAATTTGCATTAGGGCGCATTTGCATTTTTGATGATTTTAAACAGAAAATTCAAGTTGAAACCGATTGGTATTAAAATCCAGCCTATACGACGAAAACTAACCGAGATCCAGGCAAATTTGCAATGGAGCGCATTTGAAAAAACTTTTTATTCAAACACACAAAAAATCAATCAGATTCAACAGTTAAAATTTCTAGCAGCTCTTCGTGTAGATCATTTCTGAGTGCCGCCTCTCGTGTCACCGCCATTTTCATACTTGAGTCGTCTGGATTTAGGGGCGGAGCCTGTTCTCGTTTCGATCTTTTCGGCGGTTTGATCCATCTCGAAATGCATAATATTGTGATTGTTGCCGTTGTTAAAAATACTGAAAAAAAACTTTGGATAAGAGCCACAAATCGACGTTTCGAAAATTTTATCATTAGAGCGAGTTTGCATTCTAAATGTCTTTGAATGATCTGATAATTGTTTTCGATGTGAAATTTCATTTCGAAACTAAACCTAAATAAATGGAAGCTCTATCTTTGAAACTAACAAAGTTATGATTGAACTATCATTAGAGCGCATTTTCACTCAAAAATTGTTAATCAATAAAGTATAGTTTCCGATGTAAAACTTGATTTTAAGCCGATTCCAATTAAAATTGACACTCTATCTTCGAAACTGAAAAAGTTACGATCGAATTATCATTAGAGCGCATTTTCACTCAAAAAATTGTTAACCAATAAAATATAGTTTTTGATGTGAAATTTCATTTTAAACCGATTCCAATTAAAACCAACGTTCTATCTTCGAAACTAAAAAAGTTATGATTGAATTATCATTAGAGCGCACTTTTCCCGAAACTTTTTATAAGTCAATATGGTATAGTTTTCGATGTAAAATTCAATTTTTAATCGATTCCAATCAAAATCAACGTTCTATCTTAGAAACTGTCAAAGATATGGGTAAATTCTTAACAGAGCGCGTTTGCTGACCTGTGATAAAATTAAAAATGCATATTGAAGACGATTCTAGAAGCATTTTATTTGAAATGAAGTGTTTTCCAATCAAAAGTTCCCATTTTTTGTAAAAAAAGATTTTTTTCAGATTTCCGCGTACCGAAACGAGAAACTATGGAAATCGTGGCCAATGGACGATATCCTATGGTATGTGGGATCGGAGCCCGGCCGAAAATCGCCCAACGCCTTCAACTGTGCAATGATTCTGAATTAAAGGACGGATACTCTTCCAAATTCCCCGGATTCTGTTTCTCGTTTAAAGAGGAGGCCGATCGGAATCGATGGCTCACGGCGGTGACCCATTTTTCAAAGAATAGTGATCCCGATGAGCCATTGGTCTATATTTGAGCTCAAAATTTGTTTTTTTTTCGTGCATTTTTCTAATCTGCCATATTTAAATACTATGTTGAAATTTCTGTGATTTAAATAATTTAACAATAAAAAATAATTTAACAATAAAGAACAACAACAATTAACAAAATTAACAAAAATGTACAGAAAATTCGAATTTCCGTCAAATTTCACCACATCTTCACTGCCAAAATCCCGAAAAACGTCTCAAAATCGTAGGCAAGTTTCAGGACACGATTCTGGACTTTTTCGGCTTCCAACGATGTCAAATCTTCGCGAATTTCGTGATTCCTAAAGTGCATTAGATAGGCTTCAGATGACTCGGCGAGCTCTTCTTGTGCTGGAAATTCAGAATTTCAGATTTAAATTGAAAACGTTTTCTTACATTCTCTCGTGCTAGCAACAATAAAATATTTCAAATCCTCAATTTTCCCGACTGGATGCTCAGTCACCACTCTTCGGAGACACTCGACATGCCACATGGTTTTCCGAAACTTTTGGCACTTTACAGTAATCGGTTTTGATCTGAGCAATGATTCTCGAATCGTTTCCAGGGTGTCAGAAGACGTTAGATGCATCTCAAGCATTACGAAGGCGGTGTACAAGGCTTTTGGGTCTTCACCAATGATGAGAGCCAGGGAATCGAGGAGGAATTTGAAGCGTGGAGAGAATGATGACGTGGCAACACCCAGAAGATCGTCGCACGCTTGATTGCTGATGTAGAAGCGGTACGGACCGATTTTCTGGAAAAATGAAAATAGAGAAAACGTGTGTCTGCGTCTTGTTGGTCTGCTAAATATTTAGTAAGCCAATCTGAGTTTGGCCTTCTATTTAGAGACGCAGAGAAAGCGAAAACGTTGGTCTGCTAATTATTTAGCAGATAAACATTTTATTGGGAACTCCTGAAATTGTGGAAAATTTTTGGACTTTTTGATTTGAAAATTTAGGATTTTTTCAGAGAATTTAGGTTTCTGGAATTGTTTGGAGTTTTAGAAAATCGAAAAATTCCAAAAAAAAAATAGCAAAAAATACTTTTCGGAAATTAAGAAGAACTGTTGGTTTTTTTTTTAATGTTTAAAATTTGAATTCTTGCCAAATTTTGAAATTTTAGTTTGCTTTAATTTTTGAATTTTTTTTTTTTGGAATAATTTTTCGATTTGTTTAGATTTTGTGCAATTTCAGAAAATTTTAAATTTGGAAATTTTCGGTTTTTTAAAAGGAATTTTTCGATTTTTTTAAATTTAGGATGTTTTGAATTTCTGCCAACATTGGATTTTCAGTTTTTTTTTTTAATTTCTGGAATTTTTTTCCAAATCCTTACCGGTGATAACTGTTTGCTCCTAGCAGTGCAATTCTGAATCCAATCTGGTCGCTTGTAGATCTAAATTTTTAGAAATTTAAAATTTCAAAAAAAAAATCTACCTACCGTATACCGACTTGCACAGGGGAAATACTCATCGAACGAATTGGAGGTTTCCGCGATTTTTTGGGTCTAAATTTGAATTTTAATCAACGGAGCGCGTTTTCTAACATTTTCTAAAACTTTTCTTACCGTAAAATCTTTGAAAAACGTTTTCTCAGAATCTGGGTCCACAATATTTCTATATTTCTCTGGGTCTCTTTCCATCTCTTTCCTCAAAATCACTCGTTGAAATTTCAGTGGCGACATGACGGCTTCTAATTGTCGTCGTTCGGTTTTAAATCGATTCTGCCGAATATCAAATACAGTAGGAAGTGATGACGTGGAATTGAACGACATTTCAGAAGGAATACATTTGGCGAATCCAACTTGTCGACGAAGTCTATGCACCCATGGATTTCCCTTCTTGTCGTAGCTGGAAAAATGTTGAATATAAAAAAATTCTCATTGGAGCAAGTTTGCTGCTTACTAGGAATAGTTAGGGCCGAATGGAGTGCTAATTTGAATGTCTGGAACTGGACAAGAGCTCCTCAAAACCATGCTCATATCATGCTCTTGCCAACATTTCAGCCGCATTTCCAGTTGATGAATCCACGTGTCAATGTCGAATTTCAGAGCATCTTTTGAATCCGGAGAGCACGTGGCATTATCTATGTCAAAAGTGAGCCGAAACACTAGAAGTATATAGGCCATGAGTTTGGTGTCAGGAGAGAGAAGAACTCTGCAAATGCACTGTATTCTCAATAGAGCGAGTTTGACTGACTCATCACAATTATCCGCCTCTCTCCACGTCCGCTCTTTCCTTCCGAAGCATGACAAAAAGCCCGAATTGTACAATTTCGGCTGAATCGCTGCCAACTGCTCACAATTGTGACCCATACTGACGTCAGCTTGTTTCCGAAGCGATGGATTGACGTCACAGGGGATCATAGATTCCAGAAGAAGCACACGAGAGAGGAATTCAACTGGTAGATTCAGGTTATCGCAGAGACGAGCGGCCAACTGGAAAATATCGGGCTTTTTTTATTCCACGTAGAATTTAGGTCTGCTAAATAATAAGCAGACCAACGAGACGCAGAGAGTCAGAAAAATGCTGCAAAATGAGCCCAAAATCATTGCTCTACGACGAAAATGAACAGAGTTATGAGGGAGACAAGATTTGGGTCTGCTAATGATTTAGCAGGCCAACGCTCTCGCTTCTCTCTCAATAGCAGGCCAAACTCAGATTGGTCTGCTAGTTATTTAGCAGGCCTAAATTCCACGTGGAATTTGGGTCTGCTATTGAATTTTCGCTCGATTTTTGAACTTTTGATAAACTCTACTTTAAAAAAAATTTACTAACAGTTTCAAAATTCAACGAAACCAATTTCTCATTTAAATTCAGTGACTGATGAAATAATGTAGACGTTCTGGTGATTTCATACAGTGGAAAACGCTGAAAATTGCTATATCTTCAGAGCACAAACTTAGAATTTCAGTACTAAATATGGCTCTGCGTAGTCGACTTTTGTCATCGCCTCCTTCGTCTCCTGTTCCTTCGCACTATGTCTCATCAGACGAATCGAACGGAGAGAGATTCTAAATCGATCCTCACGAATCCACCGAACGACGTCTGAGGCCAGAACGTTTCGGTATCCGCATGACATTAAAGCAGAGTGTATAATTGCCACGAGGATTTCCAGATTCAGAATCATTTGTCTAGCGCGTCGGAGGGCTTCTGTAGATAGTGCAGTTGTGATTTTTCGAACGAATCCAACTGTAGTATCATTAACAGCTACAGTTTCGTCGTTTTGCGTATCTTCGAATTCCAAATTTTCCATGGATTTGTTCAAATTTGGATTTTCTTCTTCTTCTTCGTCCTCTTCTGAATCCAAATCCAGATTTTCCGTGATATTTCCCTGTGTTAGAAGTGTCCATGCCGCCGCCGATTTGCTCAACGCCTTCACACCTTTGCCACGTCGCGCCAACTTCTTTCGGCGTTTTTCTTCGCGCTCCTGTTGTTCGCTGGAAAAATTTGGGTATGCTAAATATTCAGCTTTCTCCTATTCAAACATTAGCAGACCAACGAGACGCAGAAACGAGAACGCATTGGTCTGCTAGTTATTTAGCAGGCCTGAATACCTCGTTTCCAAACATTAGCAGACCAACGAGACGCAGGGAGTCAGAGAACATGTGAGACCCACATTCCACGTGGCGCATCTCGTAATATAAAAATAGTGCTATCTCAGCCAGTTCTCAACCGATTTCCTTCATTTTTTTTCACATAAAAACCTGAATTCCAAGTGAAAATTGGGTCTGCTATTGATTCAGAGCTCGATTTTCTATCTTGTTGCTGCTGCTTTCAATATCTCACTAACAATTCTAAATTCTCCATCATCGCTACGAATCTCAATTGCTCATCGCTTCCACACTGCTCCGAGTGACAGAATGCCACGTGGCAGTGTGCGAGGTATCGTTGAAAAGTGGCCAGAATCGTCGGAAGAACGCGTGGCTCGAAATTGAGCTCTTTGACTAGAACATGACCGACTTTTGCGAGAACCTGAGTGAACGCAGCCAGTCGAAGACCTAGACGATACAGATAGTCTGGTGTGGATTCATGGGGGAAGGCTAGTCTGAAAGAGGGATTTCAATTTTTTTTAAATTTTTTCGCTACATACTCATCGTTTTTCAAAGCTTGTCGGCTGAAAAAATCGCTGCGTTTTTCCAGTGCTTTTCGCATAATTTGAACGTTCGACTCATTCGTTGAAACCAAATTCGTCGTTTTCTTCTCCCCATCGTCGCCTCCTTTTTTTTTAATTTTAATTTTTCCGGCACCGCGAGTCTGCTGAATTCCACCTTCTTCTGCTTCGAGCTCTTCGAAGTTCTAGAATTTATTTTTTTTTATTAAAAATTGAATTTTATGATTTTTTGCACCTCCAGAAGCGTTCCACACCGATCGCAGTACTTGAAACCGTCGATCATTGAGAAGTTGAAGCCTCCGCATGCTTTACACTTTTCGTTCGTTTCCGGAGCCATTTTTTCTCTAAAAATTTATAAATTCGTAACAAAAATTTATAAATTCGGAACAAATAAATAACAAAGGAAATTTGCCGAAATTTGTCGAAAAGAGAGATGGAAAGGAAAACGCGCCCTGTTGCGAAAATAAAACTGCGCGACTTTTAAATTCCATTTGTAAAAAAATTGGTTTTTTCTTCCTATTTCGGTCACATTTTGGCTGAAAATCTCCGAATTTGCAGGAAATTTCAGTTGAGATTTGTTTCGTTCAAATTCCCGCCCTGACAATATTGTCCATTGAGCGCGTTTGCACTGCCTATTGGATCGCGCATTCTTGTCTGGATCTTTTTCTTTAAAAAGCTTTTTCGGCGAATTTTCTCTTCAGTTTTCGTCGAAAACCCATTAAATTTTATTTTTCCTCTCCAATTTTTACTTTCTCTGCACTCTCCTTGTTTTTCACACTGCCTCATCTAGAGAACGCTCGTAAAAAAACACTAAAACTCTCCAGCATGTCTCTCTGGCCCTCGCTCTGAAAAATCGATTTTTCCACCTTTCTTTGTCATTTCCGATCCGCCCACACTGCCCCCTTGCAAAGTGATCTTCGTCTGTCTCTCATTTCTGCACTTTACCCTTTCTCTTCAAAAAAAAAAAGAAAAATGAAGATAAGATAGGGGAGAAGAACTCCCTTGTCGTCAACGGACAAATAAACTACGCAATACTACGAAGGCCAGTTCTTTTTGGACCTAAAAAACGAAAAAAATAGTGCGCAATTGTTTTTTTTTAATTTTAGGCCTGCTCAATAATTAGCAGACCACTTTTCTCTGCGTCTCGTTGGTCTGCTATTGTTTTGAAACGTGGAATTCTGGCCTGCTAAATAATTAGCAGACCCATGCTCTCTCACTCTCTGCGTCTCGTTGGTCTGCTAATGTTCGTGAAATTTGGACCTGCTAGATGTTTTTCTGTATTTTGAACACAATTTTCTCATTATTTATGGGAATTTCCGTATTTTTTCGCATGTCTAAAACCATTTTTTTCACTTGAATAGCAAAAAAAAACACAGGATTTTATGTAAAAGTCTGTGATAAAAACCTTTTTTCGTTGTTCAGCGAGCCTATTTTTTTCAATTAGCGCAGATTGCATCAGTCTTCTTCTCCCAATGCTCTCAAATAGATTAGCCCTACTGAATCCTTATTTTTAGCTTGTAGCTTTCTTTTTCTCTAGTTCAATTAGCTCCATTTCCCTGTAGCTTCTAGCCAGTAATTCCTGTGTAGCGTGCAAAGGTAAAAGTCCATTGATCCTCGAATTCTCCAAATTCTTCCTCGTGGCTGCTGGCCACTTCTGTGTTCAGCAGCTTGTTTCCTTATCAGTATCCCTGTCTTCTCCGCGAAAAAATATCATTACACCACACCATTTTTGTGTCTAGTTAGAAAACGATGCACTTTTAAAGGTCTCTAGTCATTCTTAAACTGCTAAATTTACAGTTTTTTTCGCGATTTTTTTTTTCTTCAAATCGCTTTTCTTCGCTTCTAAATTCACTATATCTCTTTTTCGTTCTCGAATTTTCTATTAATCGCAGCTTTTTTTTCAGAATGGCATCAACATTGGCATCGGCGGCTCGTGCGGCTACTCGTGCCGCGGTCACCCGCAGTGTCTACAGCGACACCCGCAACAATTTGATGATCAACAAAAGCACCAAAGTCATCGTTCAGGTGAGCCGGGCAATCTAAAAAAAAAAAGAATTTCTGCCTTTCCGCAGAAATGAAAGTCTGCAGCTAAAAGATGATATGATTGTTTGATCTTGAGCGAAATGATAAGAGATAACTGTCTAGGTAGAAGAACGGGGATTTTTGGTCTGCTAATTCGTAGCAAAATAGAACGGAATATCATTAGCAGACCAAAAGCTACATTTTCAGGGATTCACCGGACGCCAAGGAACGTTCCACAGCAAGCAAATGCTCGAATACAACACCAACGTCGTCGGTGGAGTCTCCCCAAACAAGGCCGGACAAACTCATCTCGGCCTTCCAGTCTTCGGAACCGTCGCCGAGGCCAAGGATCGTACCGGTGCCGACGCCACCGTTATCTATGTTCCAGCCGCTGGAGCCGCCCGTGCTATCCATGAAGCGATGGATGCTGAAATCGGATTGATTGTGGCGATTACTGAGGGAATTCCACAGCAGGATATGATTCGGGTTAAGAATCGTTTGTTGAAGCAGAGTGAGCTTGTACGAAAGATGTCACATTTTTAAACAATTTTTTTCTTCCAGACAAATCTCGCCTTCTCGGCCCTAACTGCCCAGGAATCATTGCCTCCGGAGACTGCAAAATTGGAATCATGCCGGGACATATTCATAAGAAGGGGTGCATCGGAATCGTGTCTCGCTCTGGAACCCTCACCTATGAAGCCGTCCATCAAACCACCGCCGTCGGTCTCGGTCAGACACGTTGCATCGGAATCGGAGGAGATCCGTTCAATGGAACCAACTTCATCGATTGCTTGGAAGTTTTCCTGGAAGATAACGAGACTAAAGGAATCATTCTGATCGGAGAGATTGGTGGACAGGCAGAAGAACAGGCCGCAGAGTTTTTGAAGTCTAGAAACTCGGGACCGAATGCCAAGCCAGTTGTTTCGTTCATTGCTGGAGTCACCGCACCGCCAGGACGTAGAATGGGACACGCTGGAGCGATCATTGCAGGAGGAAAGGGAACAGCTGGAGATAAGATTGAAGCTCTTCGGAACGCCAATGTCGTTGTCACTGATAGTCCGGCCAAGTTGGGAATCGCCATGCAACAGGCCATGCTTGGATAAATTCTAATTTTTTGTCTTCTTCTTCTTATTTAGATTTCCCTCTTTCCTATTATTTTAATCCCATTTCAATGTGCATCGGGTCCTCAATTTTCCTAATTTTCTTCAATTATTTTTTTTTCCTGTCACAGTAAATTTTTTTTTCTTCATCATCCCATCATTTTCTTCAAATCCGCATTCTTTATATGCAAGCGCGCTTTACCGCTACGCACGAGAGAGCAAGAGACGCAGACACTCTCGTGCTTTTTTTCAAATTTTGCTCGGAAATTCGCTATTTAACCCGGTTTTTCTCAAATCATAGCTTGCGAAACTTGAAATTCTCCAGATTTCTAGACAAAATGATGCCTTCAACGTCATCTGAGATTCCCCAAGAGGGAGAAGAAATAGAGCAAAAAGAAATTGGAGAAGACGTCGCGGCGATTCGGAATTCAGAAGGCCTTCAGCATCCTGAAGCTGCTGTAGAGGAAGAGATGGAAGAAATTATAGAAGTCGATGGGGAGGAGATTATTTTTGCGGTAAAAAATGATTTAGCAAACCCAAATGTTTACTTTTTCAAAAATTTGCAGGACGAAGATGAGTACGTTGAATATGACGCCATAGTCAGCTTGTCCAACGAACGGAATTTGCTTTTCGATGTGAGAATCTTCCAAAAATCTTGAAAAAACGAATTTTTTAGATGTACCAACCACAAATCACTGAACAAGGCACATTTCTGTGCAAAATTTGCCTTCGGACCGGCAAAAATACAGAATATCCCGATCGAAACACGTTTGTAGCTCACCGATACAAGTGTCATGGAAGTTTTAATGTATGATTAACAGACCAAAGCTTAAATCAAATAATTAGCAGACCAAAAGCTTTCAGAACAACGTTATATGCCCCATCACCGATTGTCGAGAAGTCTACGCTTCCCTATACACCCTCCGACGTCATCTAAGTCAGAATCACGAGCTTCCGATTGAGGTTCACCTTCAAACGTTTACAAATATCGGAGAATTCGAGAAATTCCGACATTTAGTCGAGTTGGCCTCGGGATGTCGGTATATGATGCACACGAAACAGCCGAAATATCGAAGACAAGTCATGCATTGTGCGAAAAGTGAACACAAATTGGTGCTGCAGACACAGAAGTGAGTAAGAATCTCCGTTTCTAGCACTAGCAGACCCAAAAAGTCATAAAAAATCGTTAAAAATGAGCCGAAAATCATTTTTCTACGTTGATTTTGAAACGAGTTATAAGGGAAATGAGATTTGGGTCTGCTAAATATTTAGCAGGCCTAAATTCCACGTGGCGCAAGCCAACGAGACGCAGAGAGTTAGAGAACATGGGTCTGCTAGCTTTTTAGCAGGCCAATCCGCTTGCTCGATCTCAAACATTAGCAGACCCAAATTCCACGTTTCCAAACAATAGCAGACCAAAGAGACGCAGAGATTGAGAGAATATTGGCCTGCTAACTCTTTAGCTAGACTAAATTTCACGTGGGATTTGGGTCTGCTATCGATTCAGAGCTTTTCCACTCGATTAAATACTTAGCAGAACAACTAAATATCTAGCAGACCCAGGATTTTCCTTCGTTTCTAACACTAGCAGACCAGTCTATTCCAGACACCGCTTGCCACGTGAACGAATGCTCAAAGAAGGATCCGCATGTCCATCAGTCATCTCCTACCGTGTAAACGCTTCCAATGGAGAAGTGCACGCCTTCATGCAGCTCTACCACGTTGGCCACGCCCCTGACTCTGATGTGGAGAACAGTAACGCAGATACCGCCCGTCCTATGGATATCATATTCCCTCTGAAGCCGTCATTTTTGGCTGATCACCCAATGCAATACGTACAAATCGATGTTCATGAAATGCCAACCGCTGTGTATGGATCCAAAATTTACGAGTATTTTCTGATAGTGACATGTCTAAAATCGAAATTCATTTGGGCAAAACCGCTATTCGATTGTACTCGAACACATATTGGAATGATTCTGAATTCGATTTTCAATGAGTACGGTATCCCGGAGGGATTCTCTACCACATTCCATCCCACGTATATTCGAGATGCGATGAAATCGTTGGAGAGTGTCTATGCAATTGAAATTCGAGAAGTTTGGAATGAGCCAATACCGTATATTCATCTGGAGAGATGGGCGTTGGACGTGGCAGAGCATGATATGCAGACAAGGAATCGATGGGTCGAGCAGCTGCAGTTTGTGGTGATGGAATACAATCAAAGATCGATCCGTGAGCAACCGGAAACACCATTCGAACGGATGTTCAATAGGAAAGCTCCGAATTTATATCATAACGGACAACGGGAGGATCAATTAGCTGCAAAGCTACGTGGATATCACATCGAGTTACGGAGAGAAATCGAAGGGATGGAAGAGGATTTGGGAGTGACTTTTGCGCCAGGACAGAAAGTTTTTGTAGGATTTTGGAATTTTCGGGCTAAAAATTATAATTTCAACCTAAAAACTAATTTTTCTACATTTCCAGCTCCGCAAAGGAATCACAAAACCGCGACGTGGCAACAACAGCCAATTCTACTTTGGCTACATTTCCGACTACGACCCTCACAACCAATACTATCCGTATAAAGTGCACTACTCCAGTACAGACTCTCCATGGCCCAGCGAACGAAACCTATTCGCTTGGGTTAGTGTCTTCGACCTACTTCCCACAATTCACGGAATCTCTGAAATGTCGGCGAACGAGAAGCGCGAATCCATCGCGAGCTACATGTGCTCCTGTCCTGGAATCTCGTCCAACAAACTCTTCGATATGTCAGCAGTAGGAAAGCCGGCGAGAAAAGCGTCTCATTGTCTGCTATTCCGCAATCTTCTATGCACAAACATGATGTCTAAATACTGCTGTAAACACGTGGCAAGTGAGCCATGCAAATTCCATTCGATGTATCCGGAAAACGAGGAGTCGTACACGAAAATGGATCAAGTCTTGCAGAATTATTTGCAGACTAAAGAGCTGGAGAAGCATACAAACAAAATGCAGGTAGGGCTTGAAAAATCCTTCAAAATGAGCGCAAAATCATTTTTCCTAGTTGATTTTGAAGCGAGTTACAGGGAAAAGAAAATTTTGGACGGCTAATTATTTAGCAGACCTAAATTCCACGTGGCGCACTCTATGGCTCTATATTTCTCGTTGGTCTGCTAATGTTAGAAACTGAAGAAGCTAAATTCCACGTGGCGCGTTGGCCTGCTAAATAATTAGCAGACCAATGCTCTCTGACTCTCTGCGTCTCGTTGGCCTGCAAAACATTTAGCAGGCCAATGCGCTTTCACCGTTTCTAACATTAGCAGACCAACGAGACGCAGAGAGTATGAGATCATTGGTCTGGTAATAATTTAGCAGACCACTTCTCTCGTTTCTCTGCGTCTCGTTGGTCGCCACGAACGCGCCATGTGGAATTTGGGTATGCTAGTGTTTGAGTACACATTGGCCTGCTAAATAATTAGCAGACCAATGCTCTCGTTTCTCTGCGTCTTCAGTTGGTCCGCTAAATATTTAGCAGACCAAAATCTTATTTCCTCCATAACTCGCTTCAAACTCAACGTGGGGCAAAAACATTTGGCTCATTTTTCAGCATTTTCTCTCCTGAATCTATGTCAATATACCACTGGTCTGCTAAATATTTAGCAGGCCCAAATAATTGGCCTGCTAATTAATATGAAATGTTTCCAGGACGCCGAACCAATCCGTCGTATGGTACAGGAAGAAATCGACAGAATGCACATGGACGGAGAGGATTTCGATATTCTGGATGAGGATGATTACGGTCCGCCCGTTCTGGAGCGTGGTGATTCTGGAGAAGAAGAGCAGCCAGAAGACGTCGTGGAGGAGGAGCCTACTGCAGAAGGCGCCCCAGAAATAGAAGCAGCTGGAACGACGTCGGAACACGTGGATATAGAAGGCGTTGACGAACCGGATGAAGCAGAAGAAGACGTTGGATTCCAATATGAAGACGTAAAGCCAGAAGTGGAAGAAGACGTCGAGCAGGAAGGAACGTCTTCAAAACGTGGGAGAACTTTTGATGCGACGAAGTCTCCAGAACCCAGAAAACGACAGAAGGCGTCGGAATCGTCAGAAAGAAGAGCGTCAGGACGACGTTCAGTGAGGCCGAAGAATTTGGAGGATTATGTTGTGGAGTAACTATTTCTATGATTTGTCAATTTCTGGAACCTTATTTTGGTTATAAATTATTTTATTAGACCAAAAAAATTAGATTATCATGTGTGGGGGGCGTATCTATGAAAGAGCATTTTCAGAAAAAAAAGGGATGTACAGTTTTTTAGATACAGATGAAGAACAAGAAAATTGCACTGGTGTGGGGGAACACAAGAAAGAACAAAAAAATTGAATAGTAAGCGAAAGAACTGAAAAGACAGAGAGGAGAGAGAGAACCGGGAATTAAATAGGGACACAAAAAATGTACACAATTGAAAAATGTGGAAGAGGGATAAGAAACCCGAGAGAGGAAAGAGAGAAGCGAGCAAAACAAAAAAAAAGAAGAAAAAATCAGTACTCCATGGGAACAGCGACGTCGTCGAAATCGACATTTATGTAGTCCTCCTGTTGCTCCTCCTCCATCGCCTCTCCCTCTTCCTCCTCTTCCACATCTGACACGTAGCTGGGTCTGAACACTGGAGACGTTGTCGTGGGGTGAGCATCGGGACGCCAATTCGGATTGATTCGTCTGAAAAGAAGGACGACCCGTTAGATGAAGTATAAGACGTTGACCCACATATATGAAGTAAAAATGTAAAATATATAGGACAAGAAGAAGAAGAAGAAGTGCAACAAGTGTGATATGGTGTCTCATGAATACAAGTCGTCACCGTCGTCTGTCGGGTCACGCAACCGCTTTTGCGGTCGCTGGTACATTAGCAACTTTTGCGTTCTACAAAAGTGTCTTTACGAGAAATGGGGCGGAGCTTAGTTCAGAGAGTGCCTATAGAAGAGCCTTATCCGTGGTATAATGTAAGATGAATATTGCTAATAGTGATCACCTAGGCCAGTGGGGTATTCATTTTATGGAAATTTGATTTTTTTGTTAGCATTGGAGCGCATTTGCGTGCAATGGAAATTTGAAAAAAAAATGCAAAGATACAAAATTTCAATTTTTTTCAGAATCATTCGGATAAAGTCAATAAATTCAATAAAAACTTCAAAATGCGCTAAATTCAACAAAAATTAGTCAAGATCGCTGAAAATAGATTTTCAATGTTTTTTCCAAATTTCCAGATTTTTCTCTAATTTAAAAATCTTTTTTCCATAACATAAACACCCCATCATCTCAAAACATAGAATTTTCTAGTTTTTTTAAATATCAAAAATGGACATATTTTCAACAGACACAAAAATGAATTTGCCTCGAAACTCTACTTACTTCATCTCCACCGCCCGTATATTATCGAGTACTGTATTGGCAAGATGGCGAATGTCTTGAGTCGTAATTGGGTTGGAAACCAGTTCTTGTAACAATGGGACACCTCCCTCGTCACGGACATAGGCACAGTATCTGGAAAAAATATTTATGAAAAATTTTTTCGAATGAAAAAAAATTCTTAAAACCCACTTTTCTCCATCGGTAGTCGTCAAGTTAGCCAAAGCCCATACGGCCCAATGCTGACTAGCGTAGGCATGATACAAGGGCAGCAGTCGAAGAATCGGACGGAACGATCGATAGTTTATGAATCGACGAGTAGCCAGCTTCCACGTGGATGTTGCCTCCACAATCTTCCTCATTACCTCCTGTCTGCACACTGTCAGCTTCTCCCAAACCTCTTCTCCATCGCTGACCATATGAGCAAGCACTCCAGCAGAATTATAGCTAATCTCGATGGATTCCTCTTGAGAAGTGAGCAATGCGCAGAATATATTCACATAGTCATCCTTCATGAGCTGACTTCTCAACGCATCAACCTCAGCAATGTTTCCAATGAGTCCCATCATGTTTCGAACGAGTTCTCGTTCAGTTTTAAAAGCTTCATAACACTTTTGGAATAGATCCAAGCCATTTGCGTTGAGGAACAGTTCACAGTTGACTGGCGTTTCGTCAGTGATATTCCATAGAAAACTCCATCCAACTTCCATCACATCGTCACAAATGTTGGCCGTGTGTTTTCGACTGATTTGGTCCAGGATCATCTGGAAAAATCAATGTTCTAGCTCCAAAACTGCCCAAGAAATGCCCAAGAATCTATTTTGAAAATTTGTCATTAGAGCGCCTTTTCAATATCAAAAATTTTTAAAAATGGGATAATAAATTCAGATTGATTTGGCTGTGGAGCGCATCTAGTTTTTCGTAAAAAACCAAGATTCTAGCTCCAAGACTACCCAAGATATGGGTGAATTTTTAAAAGTTATCATTAGAGCGCATTTTCTTTTTTCAGAAATTTTAAAAAAGTTCAATACGGGTAAAGTTCACAAATTTACAAAAATTATCACTGGAGCGTGTTTGCTTACCTCAATAGCACCGTAGCTTCCCACTTGCACCTTCTGATCTCCTTCCACGTGGCACGCCATCGAATTCAACAAGAATACCACGATTCTCTGTGTCAAATTGTCAGCGTTATGGTGTTGAAGGACAGAGACGAGGAGGACGGCAAGGCGGCTGAATATATGTCTTAAATTATCGGGGATTCTAGAAAACCTTACCTATAATCAAACAATATATCCTGTGGAATTTCAAATTGGCACAACGAGAGACAGCAATTTCGGACCATCACCTGCTCCTCCATATGTACTTCCATTCCGCTGAGCAACGCCGACACCACACGTCGTTTCGTGTCTCGATTCATGTCGACTTTTCTGATGATGTAGAAAAGGGAGGCGGATCCGGCGATTTGGAGAGTGCTGTCTGCCAGGTGTCGGTGCATGGCTTCCAGGACCAGATGGAGTGCTTCGGTGTGGCGGGTCTGGAAAAAATATTCGTGAAAAAGTGCTGAAAAATGAGCCAAAAATCATTTTTCTAGGTTGATTTTGAAGCTAGTTACGGGGAGGAATAAGATTTTGGTCTGCTAAAGATTTAGCAGGCCAATCTGAGTTTGACATGCTATTGAGAAACGCAGAGAAAGCAAGAGCATTGGTCTGCTAATTATTTAGCAGACCAATGCTATCTGACTCTCAGCGTCTCGTTGGCCTGCTATTGTTTGGAAACGTGGAATTTGGGTCTGCTAATGTTTGATGCGTTGGCCTGCTAATGATTAGCAGACCAATGCTCTCCGACTCTCTACGTCTTGCAGGTCTGCCAATGTGCTCTCTCCGTTTTTAACATTAGCAGACCAACGAGACGCAGAGAGTCAGAAAGCGGCACGTGGGATCTAGGCCTGCTAAATATTTAGCAGACCCAAATCTGGTTTTCTCCATAACTCTCTTCAAAATCGACGTAGAAAAATGATTTCTGGCTCATTTTGCAGCATTTTTCATGTTTTTCATGCTGATTTAACTCGAATTTGAGTTTGAGCCGAATTTGAGATTTTGAGCCGTTTTCTCTAGATTTTCTCCGCCTCAACACTCACCAACGGATTGCTATTCCCAAATCTGTACAATTGATAGCTCTCGTTCAACACATTCTGCAGTAGACCAGCACGATCTTTGTACATTTTCAACGATGTGATAACTTGATCCTCGTTAGCGTCTCCCGATACAACTTCCGCGGGAATCTCCCGAACATGACTGGCACTTTCACAATTGAATAATCCCAAATATTTCAATGGTTTGACTAGTGATTGAAGACCGCAAATATCGGTTCGAACTGATTCCCGGTACCTCGCTGGATTGTCATGGGATGATGGTTGGGTCGCCAAGTTGGTTGATGAGATATCCAGATGAGTCAGCTTTTTGAGGCTTACAATGATTTTATTAAGAGTCGTCACTGGATTTGGATAGGTTCCTGTGTCCTTATTAGACTGGGATATATCCAAAACTTGAAGTTCTGTCATCTGACAAATACTTGGAATCGCATGATAGAGATCTGGCACTTCGTAGAGGACTAAGCAGGTCAACGTGTTTGACAATGGCATCAAACATCGCATATCATCAGTTTTGCTCCAATACGATAAATCCAGAACTTCGAGTTTTTGAAGTGGTGATAAAATTTTGCTTAAAATGACATGAGTATTCTGCTCTTCCTCGTCAATCGTACTTCGTTTATTTGGTGTTCGTGGTAGGAACAAACGACGGACGTTGGGTGCGCGTGCGGTTATAAGCGGAGGGTTCACTGGTTGCTCGTGTATCAGCATATCCTCTTCCTCCTGAATGTCCATGGAGCTAGGGGATAGTGGGGAACGGATGCCGTCACGCTCGATAGGACCACGAGCCTCAGCGAGAGCTTCTTCTCCCAACATGAACAGAGAACGGAATTCTGTTGTTGCGATTCCGTTTTTCCTTCTAGGTTGATGTCCGGTCACCAGCTCCATAGATGTCATTCGAATCGATGTGAGCGTTGGGAAATTTGTGCTTCTTGCGTAGAGATAAGCGTTTGCGAGATCGGTAACACCTGTAACATTCGTCAGGTCGAGTTCTGTGATGTTGGGGGCGTGAGCATGAAGGAGGTCGACGAATATTTGGTCATCGATCTGAAAAATTAGAGTTTTGTAATTAAATTTTCGAAATTTTGCGGTTTTTTCTATAAAGAAAAGAAGAAAACTGCAACAAAAATTACTGCTCTACGTTGAGTTTCAAGCGAGTTAACAAGATTTGGGTCTGCTAAATCTTTAGCAGACCAAAATCTTGTTTTCTCTATAACTCACTTCAAAATCAACGTAGAAAAATGATTGGCTCATTTCGCAGAATTTTCGATACTTTTTTCTCCAAAAATTTTTGCACCCAAGTTTTTGTCAAAATTTTTTGTGTGTTCTTTGAGAAAAAAAAAGTTGGTTCAGTCTAAACCAAAAATAAAAGAAAAACCGGAAAATTCTGGAACAATTCCAGTGAAAAAAGTACTGAAATTTTCAAAAATCGGCGAAATTCACCTTTTCACTAAATTCTCTTCAAAATTTTATAATTTTTGTTCAAAATTGAAAGCTTAGGCTGAAACGCCTTGATTCCCTTCCACTGTGACATCCGAAAAAAGGCGCCAACATCAAAAAATTGGCAAAAAACTAAATTTTCAGATTTGAAGACCTTATTTCGTGGCGAGACCCAATAATTTGGAAATTTCGGAAATTTTATGAGCAGACCCAACGCCTCCTTACCGTCGCTCCTGTCAAATCCAGTTTCTGCAGCGGCAATCTTGTAGAATCTGACCAAACTCTGAACACTTGTCGGATCATATCCAAATTCCCCTGATCGACTCTCTCCTGACCATCAGGCGGTCCTAAACGCTCCACGTGTTGAGCGCCCTGTAATTATTTAATTAGGTATAATTAGAACATCAATCTAACTCACATGCTGATTATAATAATTCCATTTGTCACGAAATCGGCCGAATAGCTCCTCGCTGAGCGGCGTCGGAAGCACGACGGTCTCCATGAATTCCTGTAACTTCTGATGGCGAAATTTTAGAAAATCTTTTTTTAAATTTTCTTCTTACATCATTCTCGAGTTGCGTCATTACCGCCGCCGATGCGAGCCGAATCATCGTTGGCGCTTCCAGCGGAACATCCGCCGTATGTGACATTTTTGCGATTTCAGTCTGGAAATTTTTTGGTTTTTAGGGATTATTAAAAGGTTTTAGACACCAAAAACAGCGAGTGAATCAATAGAAAATCGGGAGGGACTGGTGATTTACAAGGAGAAGGGATATAAGGAAATAGGAAGAATTGGCGGACAAGGAGAGCGAGCGAGAGAGATAGAATCGAAAAGTGCAAGTTTCGGTGGCCCACTTTTTTAATGTGACTGGTTTTAGGTGATAAAAACAGATGGGAAAAATACGGCGGTTTGATTAGATTGAGAGGATTTTCGCGCGGTGCTTTGAGAAGAGGAGAGAGAGAGAGAGAGACGCAGAGAAAAGTGGTCTGCTAATTATTTGGCAGGCCAACGTATGAAACATTAGCAGACCCAAATGTCAAGTTTCCAAACATTAGCAGACCCAAATTCCACGTTTTCAAGCATTAGCAGGCCAACGAGACGCAGAGAGTCAGAGAGCAGTAGTCTGCTAAATACGAATTCGCGTCTCGAGAGCCTAAAAGACTCCTGCTCCGTGGCAAGTTTCATCCGTCAAGTCTTAAATTTTTGCTATATTTCGAAAAAAAAATTGTGTCGAAATTAGAGTCAATCGTGAGGAAGAATTTTTCGAAAAACATTGAATAACGAAGAACAAGGATTTGAGATTTACATACGCATGAACAAAAGCTCTAGCGAATATATTGAAAAAATGACTTTTTTCGTTACGAGACCCAATAATTTCGAAAACCCGCAAAAAAAAAAACTTTTGGAAGGAAATGAGCAAAACAAAAACACATCTTTACTGCATTTTCGCGGCAAGAGAAACTAAACTACAGTAATCCTTATGAAGAAATTTGTTGTTTTCGTGGCGAGACCCGACTAGTTTGAAAATTTAAGAATCAAACTCTCAATCAATCGAGGTCACGAGAGCTTTATAGAAATGTTGCGAAAAGTCGAGAATTGAAAGGCGCGAGAAAAAAATCGGCGATAACAAAATTAAAGGACTTTTTCCTTGATAAGAGAAAGAAAAAGAAGAAGGAAAGTGCTGCAGAAGAGAAGAGCTCACAAAAAATATTTTGACAACATGTTTTGTTTTTTTGCTGTTTTTTGCTCATTTTTATTAGAGAGGGAAATCGAAGTTATAGGAGATGCGACAAAGGCGCCACAGCGTTTAGGAATCCAAAATTATAAAGATTTTCTTGAAAAGTAAAGCTGAAAAATCGAAGTAAATAGCTTACAATTAGTAGAGATCAAAACAAAGGACAATAACTAGCAGACCCAAATGCCACGTTTCCAAACATTAGCAGACCCAAATTCGCCCCGAACACTTTTTCCTTCCATCCGCGCTAATCCCTCAGGTAATCCGTTATACTCCAGATTTTGATCTTTACAAGATCAGAAACAATTTGGACTTTTAATCTGTCTGAAAGGGTACAAAAAAGAAACAAAAAACCATAAAGCTACAATTAATCGACATTTGTCGGGACACAATTTTTAATCAGAAAACCAGTCACGCAAAGCCAAGAGCGTTACGCTCAGTGAGCCTAGAATGACTACAAAAAGAGCTGACTGGGGCAGAATTCTCGACGACGACTCCAGACGAAAAGAGAAGGCGAAAAAAGTGGGGCAAAAGAGAATAGAAGACGTCGTCGGGAAGAGGAGGAGGTGGAGAAAAGCGAAAAGAAGAAGAAGAAGACGTGTATTTTTCCTTCTTCTTCTTCTTTTTCCGCCGCTCCCCCAACCACACATCCAGTCTTTTCCTTCAGTATCGTCGTGGCGCGCGTCGCGCGCTCCGAAAAAATCGATAAATTGTGGTGAGAGTGTCTTCTCGCGGCACCCGATGGATGTATGTAGTGGAATGAGAAGAGAGCGAGACTCAGGACACAAAAGAACGGGGAGTTATATTGTTGTCTATGTGTCGTCATGACCGTTTTTTTTTCTCTTTGGAAGGGGAAATGAGAGAGAAAGAGCTTTAGTGCACAGCGGTTCTTTTTTTTCTGTCTTCATCTTTTTTTCAAGCTCTAGTTTTGTTTAGTATTCTCTAAAGATTTCAAAAAAATTGAATAATCTTAAATCAATTTTCGAGAGTTTTAAATTTGTCACAATTTTCGTATACACTGAAAATTTCAAAGTAATTGATTTTGTATAATATACAGTATGAGTCAATCTTTCAGAGACTCAACAATGCTGATTTTCAGTGAAATTTCGACGAAAAATTGAAATCAAGTCAATTGGAGTTAAATCTAAAAAAACCAAAAATTATAAAAATAGAAAACCCTACGAAAAAAAAACATTTTAAAGATCAAAACACTGGATTTTAAAAGAAATTTCTAGATCACCAGACCCCAGCATGATGGGACCAAGGGACCAACTGTCGATTTTTCGACCAATGTGCACTTTATTTTTCTCTCTAGATTTCAACACAACCACCTGCCACGGTCATTTGACCAGCTGAAAAGTGCAAAAAACCCGAGAGAGAGAGAGAGAGAGAGAGAGAGAGAGAGAGAGAGAGAGGGAGATAAAGGTCATTTTCTTCTTTACACTTTTTCAATTTCGAAACAGATACAAAAAGGGAGAAATTTCAGAAAAAGTGTCTCCGGAATGCTCCCATTCCCATACATACAAAAGCACGTCGTTTCCGTTTTCGGGCGGCGGAGCCGGTTTAGGGTTAGGCAAATATATGTATCATGGGGAGGCAGATGAAATAACACAATTAGGAAAACCGATATTAATCAAAAATTCGATAATTTTATCTGGATGGATCAGAAATTGTTTTTTTACAAAAAACTCTCTTGAGGGATGTCCTAGGATTAGTGTGAAGAAAGTTATAGGGCTTCAAAGTTTCGAGGAATTCGATTTTGGCCTGCTAAATATTTAGGATTCAGTTTTGCTGTTTAATCAACATAAAAGGCCATGAAAAATGCTACAAAATGAGCCAAAAATCATTTTTCTACGTCGATTTTGAAGAGAGTTATGGAGAAAAGAAGATTTTGGTCTGCTAAATTATTAGCAGACCAATGTCTCTTTCTCTGCGTCTCTCGTTGGCCTGCTAAATATTTAGCAGGCCAACGCTTTTTCCAAACATTAGCAGACCACTTCTCTGCGTCTCTCGTTGGCATGCGCTATTGTTTCCAAAGATTTGCAGACCAATGTGCGCGCCTTCTTATGATAAATGACCTAAAAAGAAAAAAGAAAGTTCTAGATGTATTTGTATATGGTAAAAGGAGACTACTAGGTTAAGAGACACCAAAAAGAAGGGGTCAAATGACATTGGAACACACTAAATTGATTAGATAAGCGATCTTTTGGACAGGGAGAGAGAGAGAGGATGTTGCGTCAATGGTACACACAGGAATTCACGTGCACCATACATGGACCATACAAAACATAAATACATTTTTGTAGTTTTAGCAAATGCGCTCTAATGATAAGCCTAAATTTTGGGTCTCTAAAATTTGGGTTTTGAAGAGAGTTGATATTATTAAAAAATTCTGAAAATCCAAAAGGTCATTAATCTTGTAAATTGAAAAATCCTAAATTTCTGAAATTCAGAAAATCCAAAAATCAAAAAAATTCTAAAATTCTGAGATTTCAAAAATCCTGAAAACCCTAAAAAATTCTAATATTCTAAATTTCTGAAATTTAAAAAAAAACCTAAAAATCTGAAAATTCAACAATTCGGAAAATCCTGAAATTCAGAAAATATTTTTTTTTCAAATTAATTTCAAGATCCATTTTAAAGACCAAAAACTAGTAGAAAAAAACCGGAGGTCGTAAATTCCAATGGGAATTCGTTTTTCGACGAAAAAAGACGTCAAAAAGACACTGGAACGAATATTTTAAAGGAACTTATTAAGTCTGGCGGGAAATTTAAAAAAAAGACGTATAAAAAATGTAAAAGATATTTTTTAATTTCGTTGTTTTTGTGTTTTTCGCTGAAAATGAGAAAATTCCTGTCTGGTGTGTGGAAGACAGGAAAACGGAGAAAATGAGTCATATAATAATCCAAGGCTCAAATATGAAAAAAAAAACGAAAAGCAATATTTTGGATAGATGGGAAGAAGGAAAAGAAGGAAAAGAGAGCATATAACAATTAATGAATTTCAAAAGTTTTAATTTTCACATCAAAGTACTGAGCCACGTGAATCTTTTGAATCTCCCAAAAGATGGACCGTTAAGTTTTTGGGAGTTTTTTCAACAAATATACCAGAAATATTAACACTTTCGGAATATTTTTCCCAAAATTGTTATATCATGAAATAAATATTCATAAGAAGCGAAAAAAATGAAGAAGATGGATATATCGGAAATGGAAATGAGATGAGAGGAGAATTTTCTGGAAAAAATTATTAAATTTGTTTGCAAAGAAAAAGAGTTTGGGGATCTAGAAATTTTGAAATGAAAAAAAAATTATAATTTTTTTCAAAATTCCAAATTTTTTGAAAACTCAAAAATCTTGTTTCCCTCATAACTTTTTTTATTTTCTCAGATTTTGTATTAAAACTTTGATTTTTGAACTCTCAGGAATTTAAGCTTCAAAATGAGTATAAACATGACCTACTTCCCATTATTATTATTAATTTTCGGACCCCTTATGCGCCTTTATGGTCGAAAAATGTCGAAAATACAAAGTGGGCGGAGCCTAGTCGTGTTTAAGCTCATTTTAAAGCTCGTGACGTGTCAAATTTGAAAATCAAAGTTTTGTCTTCAAATTTCAAAAACTGAAAGTGTTACGATCAAAACAACATTTTGGGCTGATATTCAATTTTCAATTTCAACTTTTTGGGAATTTGAAAAATTAGAAAATCTGAGAGAGAACAATGATTTTTTATATTGTATGGATGAGAAAATGAAAAATAAAAATCGATTGGGATCAGGAGGAAAAGGAACGAAGAAGAAGATAACAGGTTTATGTGGAAAATCTTATTCTTCCTTTTTTTTTGGAAAAATGTAGAAATCGAAATCTTTGGTTATGGATCTAGATTTAACAATTTTTGAAAAAATTGTTAAATTTGAGCAAAACTCTGAAGCCAAGCCAGAAGATTTAAAAAACGATTTTTAAAATGTTTTTTATTTCAAAAAATTCGAATTTCTGATTTCTGGAAATTTTTTTTTTCATATCTGTACAGGAATTTCTTCCTTCGTTCCTCAGAAAAAATCAACAAAACTCTTGAGAAAAAAAAACTGGACGCCTAGTTTTATATATTTTCCCCCTTTCTCAAGTGTTTATTTATTTACATGTACCTAGTTTTTTGTGCTCCCTGTCTACCGGAAATTTTGCGTCTAGACTCATTAAAACGTAATTGGTCTGCTGATTATTATTGCTATTAGGAAATTTATCTGTTGAAAAATTGAAAAATAAAAAATGTGTTAAAAAAGCTGAAACCAGAAATTCTGAAAAAAAAAGATCTTCCAGAAACTTTGAAATGTAGATCCTCAGAAAATCTAGAAATCAAAAAAAAAAAAATACAATAAAAATCTTTATTTTCATTTTTCAAAGGAACTTTCAAAATCATTTTTCTTCGTATTTCATTGAGATTGGCATTTTTCCATTCACATAAATTTGAAAAGTGCTCAATTGAGCTCAGCAGACGCATACTGGGATTCAGCCGATTGGGTCACTGGACGGAATGCACTCAATCCCTTGTACTTTTCCTCAGTTTGACGTTGATTCTGGACTGGAACATAGCCATATGGTGGACCGAGCTGAAAAAATTTACAATTTAAAATTATTTTTTTTTAAATTTGATTTTTTGGAAAAACCAAACTTCGAAGCCATCGAAAATATTTAAATATTTAGAAAGCACTAATCAAGGAAGGGGCGGAGAGAGTCGCCAACTTTAAAGGTGCATAGCTCAAAAACTACGGTAGCTAGGGAAAATTTACAAATTGCTAAATTAAGCTTTAATTCGAATTAATGCTCTCTGAAAAATTAAAAAGGATTTATTGACTATCAAATTCTTTTTGAGGGCTCTAAAATTTAGTTGAAAATCAAAATTTTTCCAAGAAAAGTTTTTTTTTTGGAAAAATGAAAAATATAAGAAAATGAACGAAAATAGTTCAACTTTTCTGAAATTTCCAGAAAATACTGAAAAAAACTAGAGCTTCATTTTCCTAGTTGACAACTTTTTTCTAGCTATCGTAGTTTTTGGGATATGCGCCTTTAAAGTTGACGCCCTTCAACCACTCGTCAAGCGCAGAGCAAAGAGGGGGGCCATCTTTAAAGACGCATAGCTCAAAAACTACGGTAGCAAGAAATAATTTGTCAATTACAAAAATGAAGCTCTAGTTTTGTTTAGTATTCTCTGAAGATTTCAGAAAAATTGAACTATTTTCCATATTTTTTTAAAATTTCAAAAAAAATGTTTTAAAAATATCCAAAAAAACATTTTTTCAAAAAAATAATCCTTATTTCCTAAAATCCTCACCGAAGCCGTCAAACACGAAGACGTGGCAATAGTCGACCCGGCATCAGTGTACGAAGTCAAATTTTCGATGACCGATTTTGTGGGCGGAGCCAATTTCTGTGGCTGATCCTCCTCGCTTTCCATCAAGATGTACTGCGATTTTTCGTGTTTTCCCAAAATATTGAATACGTTTTCAGTCGCTTCGATTGGCTGGAATTTTGGGAGCTGAAAAAAAGAAATTGAAAGAAAATTTTAAACGTTTCTCAAGATAGCGCGTTTTACCGAAAAATCGTTTCTCTTATGAATTTCATTATTTTCGTCAGCCTGAGGTGGTGGGGAGAATCCGGGGACGTAGTACTCGACCGATTGGGGACCGTTGGCTGAAAATTTCAAAAAAATTATTTTTAGAGAATACTAAACAAAAGTAGAGCTTCATTTTTTTAGTTGACAACTTTTTTCTAGCTACCGTAGTTTTCGAGATACGCGTCTTCAAAGTTGGCGCACCTCTCGTCCACAGGAGCCTGAAAGGGGACGCCAAACTTAAAGGCGCATATCTCAAAAACTACGGTAGCTGGAAAAAATGTTGTCAACTATAAAAATGAAGCTCTACTTTGCTTAGTATTCTCAGAAAATTTCAAAAAAAAAATTGAAATATTTTTAATCTTTTTTTAAATCTTGGAATTTGGTTGAAATTCTAATTTTTCCGAAAAAAATGTTACCCAAGTTCTTCGGCTTGACTTCCATTTTCTCATCTGAACCATAGGCATACATGGATTTTTCAGCGTTTTCAGCAGCCAAAATCTTATTCTTCTGGGCGGTACGAAGTTGAGCACGATAGATTGGTGGAATCTCGTCCGACTCAAAACCACAGTAATCCGAATCTGGGGACGGTTTTCGATTTTCAGATTCCACAACTTTTTGGAGCTGAAAATTTGGGAATTTTCAGACAAAATTTTTTTCCAAAAATTTGAAAATCCAAAATTACCTCAACGATTTCATTGGGGATTGTTGGCTCCGCTGCCTCATTTGGCTCCAAATAGAAACTTTCAACGTACGCCATTTCTTGAGAGAGCTGAAAATTAAAAAATTTCAAATTTTTCTGAAAACTCTGAAATTCCAGATTATCGTTTTTTTTCAGATTTTTATTTTTTTGTTGTTGAAAATTTGACTTTTCAAAATTAGGTCACTTTTGAGTTTCAGACAATCTGGAACTTCCAAAAACTGGAAAACCCAATTTAAAAAATTTCAATTTTAGATTTTTTTCTGAAAAATCCGAAATTCCTGATTACCTTCTGAAAGTCGCAGGGAAGTGTTGTTGGCAAAAGGTTTTTTGAAAACTTTTCAAAATAATCACTGTTCTCTTTTTTGCCTATTTTACCGATTTCGTGGCTAAAACTATTTTTTGAAAAATTTCAAGATTCCAAAAAAAAATTTTAACGTAAAATTGATTTATTCAAATTCAAAAATATAGGCAAGAAACTACAAAAAAACACACACAACCAACCGTGGTACACGGAATACACTTTGTCTCCATTACAGAAGATATGGGGAGGTGTCCTAGAAACAATTCTAGGCCGCTTAAAAAATTTTTTTTAGAAAAAAAAATTTAAGAATCAAAATTTAGGAAAAGAAGATTCCAATTCTCCATATCTCCTCTCAAATCGTTTTCGATCCTCGGCACGTCTTCTTAATTGGTCTGATCTTATGGTAATAACCGCAATTGAGCAAATTACATCAGTGATAATTACCAGGGTGTTGGTCCCAAAAACCACGCACATTAGGGTCATTTTTATGGCTGAAAATTGGAAGAAATTAAAGAAAATTCTGGAATTTTCGGAGTTTTCGGTAATTATTAGAGTTTTAGAGTTTTTTGAATTTCAGAATTTTAGAATCTTAAAATTTTAAAGTTCAAATAAATCTTACTGAAATATCCCATCAGCGCCAATGATGCCAAATAACCAGCGGAAATTATGTACAATCCCTGAAAACTTTTTTGTTTGAAGTTTAAAAAATTTTACCGAACAAATCTAGAGCTTCATTTTTGTAATTGACAACTTTTCCCTAGCTAACGTAGTTTTTGAGATATGCGCCTTTAAAGTTGGCGCGCCTCCGAGGTACCCTATACTTAAAGGCGCATATCTCAGAAACTACGGTAGGTAGACAAAAGGTGTCAACTACAAAAACGAAGTTCTAAATTAGATTAGTGCTGTCTTCGAAAAGATTTAATGCTTTTCAAATTTTCGAAATGTTTGAAATTTCCAAGCTTTGTAAATAAGCTCACCTGAAAACACAAAGCAACCACAAAGAACCATGCCTGATAATTGACAAATGAATAGATGAAAAGTGTAAAAAAGCAGACAACACCAATAGAATAAATAACATATAAAGGAGTGAATACCCGAGGATCCAAAACGAAAAAATTCGAAACAACTAGAAGGATATGGACCACGGAGAGAGACCGGAGAACGATCTGAAAATCACTTTTAGGGATCACTGTAGTTTTTAATGTTTGGAGTTTTTCTGCTCTAATGGTTCAACTTTCAAATACTTTAGTTTTGTAAAATTTGGATTTGAAAATTTAAAACTTCCCAAAATTTGGTCACTCTAGGATGAAGCAGATTCAGAAATTGTGAAATAAATATTTTGTATTTTTGAGTCACTGTGAGTTCAAACAGCTTTTGAACAGGAATGTTAAATGAGTTTTTGAAGGATTACTGTAGTTTGAATCCGTTCTTTACAGGTCAGGTATCAACATTTGTGATCTACAGTAGAAAATCCAATTTTAGGGATTACGGTAGTTTGAAAATTTTATATTTTTTAAAATTTCCTAAAACTTCTCAATCACTTTAGGCTGAAACAACTTTTTAAAAAATTTAGAAATATGTTTTTTGGGATTACGGTAGTTTGAAAATCTTTCACAAAATTGAAATATCAAAAATTTCGATATACGGTGTAATAATTCTAAAACCCGAAAATCGTCAAGTTTTGTACTTTAAAAAGAGATGTTCCGGGAATACGGTAGTTGGTAAATTTGGGGTATGAATTTTTCACAAATTGGAATTTCCTGCAGTTTTGTGATTTTGCTGAAAATCCGAAAATCAGAATTTAAACAAATTTATTTGATTTGTTTTAAGTTTCCGGAACTAGTTAGCTCACAATTTTTCGAAAACCCAGAATTTTCGAAATTATAGTTTTTAGGAAATGAAATAACCATACTTGTAACGGGCCGGGCTTTTTCCGGAATTTCGGAGGCCCGGCCCGGCGGGCCCGTCATTTCACTAGTTTTAAAAATTCCAAAAAACACATAAGGACCCTTATGTGATTTTTTTCGACCAAAAAATTTTTTTCGAGTTTTTTCGATCTTTTTTGATCAGACAGACAAACAATCCGAAATACGAAAAAAAAAATGGAAAAAATTATATTGAGAGCTCAAAATTTGGCTCAAAAAATACAGAATGTTGGACACCGGGCCTTCCGGGCCGGGCCCGGGCCTTGAAAATTTCCTCAGGCCCGGCCCGGAATTTTACAAGTATGGAAATAACGAAAAAAAGGACATTTGAACGTTTTCCCAAAAAAAAAAGCCAACCTCCTGTCGTAGTCCGCACCCATTCACCGTCATTTTTGTAGTCTCTCCAAAAATGTATTAAAAATGAAAAATGAAGTCAGTCAGTCATAAAAATAATGAAAAATGGAAGGTTAATGACTAGAGAGGGAAACCGGAAAACCCTCTCGTTTTCAGAGCATACACCAAAAAATCAAATGCTATCATTTTCCTATTTTTCTTATCAGTTCTTTTTTTTTTGGAGAAGAGGAGAAGAAGAATTTCTGCCCCTCATCATTTCAGACGGAACATTCTAGGGATTATCACACTATTAAAAATTGAAGTCGTAGAGAACTTTCAAAGAACTTTGTCCTCCTGTAAATTGGTATTGTCATAATGGACTTGACATTTGAAAAACTTTTCTGAAATGTTAAAAATAATATAGAACAAAACAAGCGCTTCATTTCTGAAATTGATAACTTTTTTCTAGCTAGCCTAGTTATTGAGATATGCGCCTTTAAAGATAGGGTCTCCAACTATGCGGAGAGCCAGGACACCCATTTTTAAAGGCCCATAACTCAAAAACTACGGTAGCTAGAAAAAAGCTAAAAACTGAAAAATGTGTAAAATCAAATTGTACACATTTTTTTAGTGAACAACTTTTCTAGCTAACAACGTTTTTGAGATATGCGTCTTTGAAGTTGGCACGCCTCCTCCTCTCTTCAAGCGTTGAGCAAAGAGAAGCGCAGGCTGAAATTGGGTTATATATCCGGTTCCTGAATAGCTAGCAAGAAACTGTCAACAGCAAATTAGTAGAGCAAGAAATTTAAATAAATTTTGTAGTTCAAAAATTTTTCCTAGATACCGTAGTTTTGGAGATATGCGCCTTTAAAGTTGGCGCGTCTCTTTGCTCGGCGCATGAAGAAAGTGGGAGGCGCCCAATCTTTAAAAGTGCAAATCTCAAAATCTATGGTAGCTAGAAAAAAGTTGTCAATTACCAAAATGAAGCTCTAGTTTTTTTCAGTATTTTCTGGAAATTTCAGAAAAGTTGAACTATTTTCATTCATTTTCTTATATTTTTCATTTTTCCAAAAAAAAAACTTTTCTTGGAAAAATTTTGATTTTCAACTAAATTTTAGAGCCCTCAAAAAGAATTTGATAGTCAATAAATCCTTTTTAATTTTTCAGAGAGCATTAATTCGAATTAAAGCTTAATTTAGCAATTTGTAAATTTTCCCTAGCTACCGTAGTTTTTGAGCTATGCGCCTTTAAAGTTGGCGACTCTCTCCGCCCCTTCCCTGAAAGAAGGGTGGAGGTGTGCATCCTTTAAAGGTGCATGGCTCCAAAACTACTGTAGCTAGAAAAAAGTTGACAACTACAAAAATGAAACTCTAGTTCTGTTTAATATTCTCTGATTCTTTTGAATTCTGAAATTTGGAGATTCGGAAATTTTAGAATTCTAAAACTCTAAGATTTTTGTATTCTAGGAGTTTTGTGCTCAAAGAGGTGAAAAAACATTGTGTCCTGTGTTTTTTGTGACTCTCAAAAACTTTTATTTATTTATTTTTCTCTTCGATCACTGGTTAAATTGTAGTGTCTCTTTTTCTCTAATTCTCTTCTATTTTTCCACCCTCTCCTCTCCGATAAAACGTCCTTGGAATTCAGAATCTTGTGTCTTCTTTTCTCAAATTTCTGTTAAATTCGTTATTCGGAATGATTGCCCAAAAAGTCGTACTACATATTCTTCAATTCTATTACTTTTTGAAATTTTCGGCACTTTTGCTAATTGGTTTTGCAATTAAAGGACGCGGATTATTTGAGAAAAAGACTAGAGAGAAACCGAAAGTTCTGGAAAACTGGGATTCGAGATTCATTAAGTGCAAGGTAATTAATTAGTTAATTATCTTAATTAACTTTTTTAAATCCAGAACGTTCGTCTCCATTATGTCCAAACTGGTTCGGATGACAAACCGCTTATGCTTTTCGTTCATGGATATCCAGAATTTTGGTATTCTTGGAGATTTCAGCTAAAAGAGTTTGCAGATAATTATCGGTAATTTTAAGAAGTTTTCAAAAATTCAAAAAAATTTGGAATTTCAGAACATTATAGTTAGAGTTTTAGATTTTACAATTTTTGGAATTTTTGGAATTTAGAAACTTTTTTTTTTGGTAATTTAGGAAGTTTCAAAATTAGGAATTTTCAGAAATTTAAAATTTTTCTGAATCATTCAAAATTCTCAATTTCAATCTAAAAATATTGAAAATACAAATTTGCAAATTTCAACTAAACAATCTACGAATTTTCAAATTTCCAGAAATCCCAAAAATTAGAATTCCCAAAGATTCCAAAAAATCGAATTCTCGAAATTCGCAAACTTTCAGAAATCCCAACTTTTCTTAAATTTCCAGATGTGTAGCAATCGACCAACGTGGCTATAATTTATCAGACAAACCAAAACCAGTTGAATCATACGGTCTAAATGAATTGGTTGGAGATATTCGAGATGTGATCGAAGGACTGGGATATAAAAAAGCGATAGTGGCTGCTCATGATTGGGGTGGCATCGTTGCGTGGCAATTCGCAGAGCAATATCCGGAAATGGTTGAAAAATTGATCGTTTGTAATATTCCAAGACCTGTAGCATTTGGAAAACGACTCAGAACCAGTTGGTCCCAATTTAGAAAGAGCTGGTGGGGATTTTTTTTTTGATTTTATAATATGACCTATTGAGAAGCTGAGCTATTGAGAAATTGACTTATTGAGAAATTGACCTATTGAGTAGCTGAGCTACAGAGAAATCGAGCTATTGAGAAGTTGATCAAATGAGAAGTTGACCTTTTGAGAAATCAAGCTATTGAGAAATTGACTTATTGAGAAATTGAGCTACTAAGAAACTGAGCTATTGGGAAATTGATCTCATTGTAAGATATTGAGTTATTCTAAACAAACTAATTTTTTCTCTCATTTCAAAATTTAATCTATTCCAGGTACATGTTCTTCTTTCAAAACGCTCGAGTTCCTGAACTCTTATGCTCTGCTGACGATATGAAAATGCTGGAAGGAGCATTCCGTAGTCCGCAAATAGGAATTAGAAATCGCAAAAATTTCACTGACGACGATTTGGAAGCCTGGAAATACTCCTTCTCGATGAATGGCGCTTCTTTTAAGTACCCGATCAACTATTATAGAAATATTTTCAAAAATGTGAATTCTAATAAGGAAGACTTGGTTTTGGAGGTATTTTTAAAAAAAATTAAAATTTTGGATTTCAAAAAATCGTTTCCAGATGCCTGTCCTAATTATCTGGGGAACTGCAGATGGCGCGTTGGATATTGAAGCGGCTGAGGACAGTTTGAAGGTAAGAACACTTTTTAATTATAGTTTTTAATTGGCCAATTAACTGTTTTTCCAGACTCTCCCAAATGGAAAAATGAAGAGAATCGAAGGAGCATCCCATTGGGTTCAACAGGATGAGCCCGAAAAAGTTAATGCGTTTATGAGAGAGTTTTTGGAAGTTTAAATTGGTTTGTGACTTTTGTTATCTTGTAAAATGTTTGAAATAAAATTTTACACACTTGTGAGTTGACAACTTTTTTCTAGCTACCGTAGTTTTGGAGATATGCACCTTTGAAGATTATGTGTGACTTCGCAGTCATTGGAATAGGATTCAAGATTTTAAATGCTGAGGATTTCAGATTTTCAGAATCTCAGGATTTGAAATTTAAAGGACATCGGGATTCCAGAATCTCAGGATTTCAGAATCTTAGAATATCAGAATCTTAGGATTTCAGCATTTCAGAGTTTTAAAATCTCAGGATTCCATAATCATAGGATTTCAGAATCTCAGGATATCAGAATCTTTTAGTCTTAGAATTTCAGGATCTCAGGATTTCAAAACCCAGGATTCCAAAGTTTCGCATTTTCAGATTTTTGAAAAATCGTTTTCTCCGTTCTTTCTATTTTTTTGAAGTTTTTGGCTAGATTTTTTTTCAGTTTTTCCAAATTCCTTCCCTTCTCTAAACACTCCAACAACGTCTTCTTCTTCTTCTTCTTCTTGTTATTCTGATCTCCTGAATTGCGAAATTCTTCACAATCCCTCTTTTTTTTTGAAAAATAGAATACTTTTTTTTTGTTTTCGCCCCAAAAAAGAGCCGCTTGTTGGCTAGATTAGTTGCCTAGGAGCCAAAGAAGCCTAAGCACAAAATACGAAAAATTCGTCAAAAAGATGTTTTTGTGAACTCTGAAAATCTGAAAATCTGGAAAACAAAAAATTCGGAAAGTTAAAAATCAAAAATCAGAAAAGCTAGGAAAAGACTGATTTCTTAAAATTCTAGTTGTCTGAAAATCAAGAATCTGAGAAGCAAAAGTTGAAATCTAAAAAAAAAACAAAAATCTGAAAATCTGGAAATTAGAAGCTGTGGTGTACGAAAAAGAAATTACACAATTTAAAAATGAAATACATTCTTGAGGAAAACTACAAACTACAAAATTAGTGTTCCCCCGACTAATCACATGATTTACCTCCTTTTGATGACACAGTGTTGCACAATATTGCATTTCCCCTAGTATATAAGGGCAGTCCGTTTATTTGAGTTCACAACTATACGTATTGATTTCCTGATTCTCCGATTTCCAACTTCCTTCAAAAAATATGTGTTCAAATCGAGGTGAGTCAAAAAAAGAAGATAAAAATGTCGAGATTGGTTTCCTGTGTAAATATTTGAGACGCTTTTTTTGTCGATTACTCAGAAAACCTTTCCTTTCTTATCAGTCTTTGACTTTTTTATTCTCCAAAGATGGAAAAGAAAAATGACGAATCTGGAAAAAGGAAGAGTGAATTTGAGAAGGAAAATTCGAAGTTCTCATGTGTGATGTATGAACTATTAACTTTGAGCCAATTTATCATGGTTCCCGTGAGAGATATGAAAAAGTTGTCAACTGATAAATTGTTTATCACAATATCAAAAATATTTTGTTAGTTTGTAGTCTTCTGATATCTCTTATAAGAACCGAGATAAATTGGCTCAAAGTTAAAAGATCGGCAGCCGCCGCGTAGCTCAGTCGCCAAATGTCGACATTCAAACATTGAGCCAATTTATCTCATTTCCTGTAAGAGATATGAAAAAGTTGTCAACTGATAAATGGTTTACCATAATATCAACAGTGTTTTGCCAGTTGACACATTTTTGATATCTTGCATAGGAGCAGAGATAAATTGTCTTAAAATTGACAGTGTTTTCTAATACAGGTTTCACGGTGACTGATGAAAAAAAAAACAAAAAAAAACGAGGAGTTTCAGCTAAAAACTTTGAAAACCCTGAAAAAAAGAAAAGGAATTAGTACATTTTTGTCAAATTTCAGTTAATCATATTTATTCCATTTTTAGACCATATTCTAGCTCATTTTTAGTTAAATGCCAGCAGTTTTTAATTTGTGGTCATTTTTTATCGATTTTAGAGAATTTTAAGAGTTATGTTAATCATTTTAAAAGGATTTAGATGCATTTTAAAAAATGTTTTTGGTGCAAAATTGTCAATATTTGCCCAACTTTCAAGTATTTTCTAATATTTTCAGACATTTATTCTTAATTTTCAATCAAATTTCAGGTTTTATTTTTTTTTCCTGAAAATTAGGAACATTTTCAACAATTTTAGTTCATATTTCTAGAGTTGGCTTGTTTTTAACTATCTTTATTTAGAAAAATTAAAGGTACACTGCTTATTTTGTGTCATATTTGCTCACAAATATCAAGTTTGGGTTTTTTTTTTAATAAAATTGTTTATTCACATTTTTTTACACTTCTTTTTCTCAAAAAAAAAGCACCAGGACCCGGAAAGTAATTTTAGATTTTCAGATAAATTTTCTGAATCTATAAAGCCAAACACCGTATGACCAATCTTATTCCTCATCACAACACAACCAAAAACCACAAAAAACGACATCTGACTAATCGAATCGACCTCAAATTGGACCGGTTTTCGCTGTTTGTGTCGAAAAATTCCTCATATTATTCCCATACAAGCCAAGCCTATTGAAGTACAAATCTTTTAAAAAATGATTTAAACACAGCGCCAAATACCACCTTCTCAATGGAGCGATGTTTGCCGTCGCCAATTTTTGAAATTCGCCACGTCACCAACGTCTTCTTTGTTCAGTTTTTGTTGCTTTAAATTTCAGACAGTTTTTCCGGGATTTTCGATGTTTTCCGCGAATAAAAAGTTCATTGTTAGGCCCAAATTTGTTCTTGGCATCGTGCCAATCTCTTGCTCATGTTTCATTGATCACTCTAGGTACATCGGCTGTGTACTACAACCAACAATTTGATCTTTCGGTACTGGCCTCCTAGGCCTCCTCGTGTTTACCATGCAGCCCAATTCCCTGCGTCTCCAGGTTTCCTGTACTCTCTCGCTTACACGAAGACGCATCGCGACCGCTCGCCACCGTCCTCCTTCTCTCTCCACTCTCCTCGTACCCCACACTCACTCGCTTTCCAAGTGACATCACTCGAAATCTTGCCAAATGTTGTGCAATAATGGGCGGAGCCTTCGCATTCTCCGTCCGTTTTCCTCGCTTTCTCGCTCATTTTCGCTTCGGTTTCTGACGAAATCTGGTGGTTTTTCCTTTTTGAAAGCTTTTGGTGACTCCTTCGATTCTAAAATGGTGGTATTTGCAGACAGGGACCAACACACGGGTCCCCAACCCGCCACCACCGCCACCGGAGCCACCAAAACGCCACAAAGCGCACTTTCGCAACCTTCTCCAGGTATGTAAAAGGTCTAAAGCTTGTAAGATTTTATATAAGAAGACGATGACATGGTTTCTTAGAAAAAAAACGATAAGTAGATTAATTCGCGCCGAAGGCGCTCCAGCTAGCTGGTAGCTTCATGAAGCTTGTATAGGAAGACGATGACATGGTTTACAAGGAATTATCAATAATATTCTGAAGAAGAAAATTTGCAGAGAACGTTCACCCGCTCAGCTAGCCGCGCGCTCGTTTGTCACTAGACTTCGACTGCCTTCCTGACGACTTCTTTTCACAATGTATCACGCAGCCACATTTGCCGACTACACCAGCATGTTCCATGCACAACAATGTACCTACTTGGATGAGGCCAAGTTCGGAGCCGGTGAGTAGACTGGGACGGGATAAAGGCATGTAGCTTGGCTCAGAGGGGTTGGATTTGTATGAAAAGTATACCAAAAGAAAGGGATTTTTCTGAGGAACAAAGATTTCATTGGTAAAGGCTAGGAAAATCAGTTGAGCTAGCTGAACCCAAGGGTTGTTAACTTGGCTCTAACTCGGCTCAAAGTGATCGGGTTTCCATGAAAAATATACCAAATGAAAGGTTTTTTTTTAACTTCAGTCTCCCGGACCTCACTACAAATTACCATGTTCTATTGTGTGTTCCTGCTGGCGACAGCCGGCAGAATTATTGGTAAATTTTGGAATTTTTAGCTTCAAAGCTTCCCTTTAGATGGTGAGGTCCGATACTTGACATCACTATAGCCCTTGTGTTGCCTCCAAGATCCCAGAAGGTCCCTGGACTCTAGCTTCCTTCAGATAGTGAGGTCCGATACTTGACATCACTGTATCCCTTATCCTCTAGCTTAGAGGCTCTAGGGCCCTAGAAGGTTCGGCTTGACCTTATAGCCTTCGACCCTATGTTCCCTTTCCCCAGTCATAACCAAACCAAATCTTTGTAACTCATTCTCCTATTTTCAGACATGGGCTCCACCAGCCGTCGGGTTTTCGGCTTGGCCTCCACCGCCAGCACTTCCCCAGCTGGCCCACTCACCACCTCAGGATGCAGTCCACGTCGACCACAACCATCGGTGGATCCTCAAGGAGACTTCTTCGCCAAATCAGGACCTTTGGAGCTCTACGACACAGATTCCCCAACTGCACCAGATCACCTCAGCCGAGCAATCTCCACTACAGTTCACGCCACACGACAACTGCGAGTTAATTGTGCTTCTCGACGATCAAACGAATTTGACGACGACAGCCTCTACGACTTCAACCTTCTGCACCACGCAAACCACAATGACACGACGTCCGAGACAGAACTTGGACAGTCGTTTGAACGTGCCACCGAGCACCCAAGCTACAATTAATGCGAACGCCGCATTATTCAACTCCTACACATTTGATTTCCTGCCACATCCTCAAGATTCGGACCCATCTGCCTCTGCCTCCTTCGCTCCCTCCACTTCAGATGGCGATTTTCTCGATCTGGATTCGCTGATGAGTTGTGACATCACTTCTCTTGACGCCTACATCCACGACGACAACGCTCAGCCATCTCCTCTCTCTGAAACTCTCTCCGAAACTGCTCCGGATCTTGATCTGGACCCAGTCGACGAATTCTTCCCAGAGCTTGTACAGCACCAGAATAAAGGTAAGTGCCACTTCTTGAGATCCGTAAAAACCATCATGTCATCGTCTTATTAGACTTCCTTTTGTGTTTCCAAGCCCCTCCTAATTAAATCAAATTGCTCATCATTCCAGCTCCGTCCTCCCGTGCTCGCAAGCCGTCTTCAGTCTCCTCATCCGATGGATCCTCATCTGACTACCGTCTAAAACGCGACAAGAACAATCTGGCCTCCCAGAAGTCTCGTCAAAAGCGCCAAGCGAAAATTCGCGAGGCTAAAGAGGAGAAAGAGCAGCTGGAGAGACGACAAGTACAACTAAAGGCAATGGTAACGACACTTGAGGCACAGGTCGAGGACTACAAACGATTGGTTATGATGTTTGTTAAGAGATAAATCTCTTCTGTTCTGGAATAAAGTTTCCAGTGTATATTTCTTCTTTTTCTTTGTCTTTTTTCTTGGGATATTTAATCTGGGATGTGTTCTTTTCTTTCTTTTGTTCTTCATTTAACTGTAATCCAAGTACTTTATTTGTTTACCCCCACTCAATCATCTAAAAATCTCATTTTCTATTATTATTTTTAGTGAGTAGAAATCACAAATTTCCTTTTTTGTCAGGATTCGAATCCTTTTTTAAAAATCAAATAAAATAAATTAAAAGTAATTCTTCTTTTTTAGAAAATTTCAGGATTTTCCCAATCAAGAAATCATAAAAAATCCAAGCTTCAGAAAAATCACCGCGCGCCTCATTTATCATGCAATTCTTTAGCATCCCCTCCTTGCGCCACCGTAGCTCAGCTGGTAGCGGCGCGGCGCATCCAACGGCCGGCGGCTGGCTCGCAAGTTCAACTCCCCGGGTCAATTGAAAGGAATGAATGTATTACTCTTGTCCGAAATCAATGCACGTTGCGGCCGAGAAAAAAACGGTGGGCGGAGCTTAGCTTCCACAGAGAGAACCTTACTGTATTTTTCAAATTATTGCACGCGCCTTTAATACAGTACATCAACATTTATCGAATTTTCTCAAATTTCTCTTATTTTTTTCGCTTGTTTCTGTCTAATTTTGTGTAATTCTTTTAAATCTTTAATTTATTTTTCTTATAAAGTAGAAAAAAAAACAGCCAAATAGGGCCCAAAATAAAAAACGTCCGAGGTACGGTATTTAAAGGCGCATGCATCAATTTGTTTTTTCGATGTGCGACCGACGATGCGATTTTGAGTAGTGTGCTGTGTCGATTGTTGACAATCGACAAAAATCGACGAAAATCGTTAAAATCGGTGTCGATTTCGTCGACTCGATCAAAAATCGACATTCAAAAAGTCGACAGAAAATCGACTTTTCAAAAGTCGATGAAAGTGAAAATCGACAAAAGTCGATTTTTGTCGATTTTGAATCGACTCAAAATCGACAAGAATCGACAGAAAATCGACAGAAAATCGACTTTTGTCGACTTTTGTCGACTTTACTGTCCGAGAGGACTACACGACCGGTGACCTAGAAACTGCCTGTGAGCGGGGTATTTTTCATGAAAAACAGGCATTTTTCATCGAATTTTCCACTGAAAAACCGTATTTTTCTTTTTTTTTTTGGGTGTTTTGTTTTTTTTTCTGTTTCATTTACGACATTCTTGCTTATTGCAGATGAATTCGTCACGAAATCAATATAAAGCGTGGCGATACTTCAAAAAACAAAATAACGGACAAACTGTGACCTGTAAACTGTGCGGAAGGAGCATAAAGTTCCATTCTTCGACCACAACGATGCATCAGCACTTAAACAGTCACCACGAGAAAGTATTTGTAGAAATGGAAAGATCGGTAAGCAGAAAATTATATATTTTTCGTTAAATTCTTAATCTTAGATAGTACATAAAGATCAAGAGCCTGATGACGAGAATGATGACTCGGAAGGAGTAGAATATTACGATTCCAGAGAGCATAACGATGATACTTTTGGAAACGATTTGGCCCAAATAATGAAACATTAATTCCTAATTCTGAACTTTGTTCTTATGTTTCTTCTCTTTTTCAAAATGTTGTCGCTTTGAATTTTCTTCTAATTTCCTTGCCATCTTCTGAATACTGATTCTCTATTTTGTACCCCGTTGAAATTAAATTTTACACTATTTGTTTTTTTATTCATAAAAATAAAGTAGTTACTCTACATAAAAAATTATTTCTTCAAAAAATTAGAAAAACATTTTCTCGAGGTGAAATTTTACTTTGAAGTCCGGAAAAGTCGATAAAATCGACAAAAGTCGATTCTTGTCGATTTCTGTCGATTTCCGTCGACGCAAAATCGACAAGAATCGATTTTCGTCGACTTTCGTCGACTGAAAGTCGACAAAAATCGACAACGAAAAGTTCGATTTTCATCGACAAATAGCCTTGTCGAATTGTTGAATGTCGACTGTGTCGATTTTCAAAGTCGACAAAAATCATCGATTTTCGAGTCGACTCGGCACTCTAATTTTGAGTAAATTTTCGGCCGCAACGTGCATTGATTTCGGACGAGAGTAATATTGTTTTCTTTTTTCATGTCCTCCCCCCTTTGAATACTGAGATTTCAGATTTTTGTAGATTTTAGAATTTTCGGAATTTTAGTTCTTCGCTTCCAATTTTAATGTTTTTTTTTCCGTCCGAAAATTGATAAATCAAACTTCTAGTCATTGTGTAGTCTCACCTATAAATCAGGCCTATAATTAAAACGAATAATGACCTTTTTTCTTGTTTTGGCATAATTTTGATACAAAGAAAGACGCATTGATTTGTCATCATTATACTAAATTTCCAGTTTCTTGAAATTCATTGTTTTAGAAAACACTGACAGTATAAAATGCTAGATCATGGCCCATAATTCATTTATAGTTAAAACATGCTTTCATTTTATTATTTGGCTTTTTTTCTGTCAATTCTTAAAGTTTGCTGGGCAGGTTGGGATTTTTTGCTCTAAAAATGTTTGACTCAAATTTTCTTAGTTCCCAAAAAGCGTTCAGCTTTAAGCAAAATTATCTAAGTGCCTGTAAGAAACATCAAAAATTTATCAACTGATAAAATGTTCTTCATATCATTATAAACATTTTATCAGTTGACTATTTTGTGATATCTTTTACGGAAACCTAGATAATTGAGCACAAAGTTGAAAGTCAGCTTGCCGGCTGAGCAATGTGGTCGCCTGCCGACCACCTAACTTTGAGCCATTTTTTCTCGGTTTATGTAAGAGATGAAAAACTTGTTTACTAATAAATTATTTATCATAATATCACTAACATTTTATCAGTTGACCACAACAACAACGTTTTGATATCTCTTACAGGAAATGAGACATATGAGCTTAACGGTGGGGGGACATGAAAAAAATAATGTTCTCGAAATTCCGTTCAAAGATGCCTCTCGAGGAGTTGAACTTGTGAGGGCGATGATTGAGGGTGCGGCGCCGCTACCGACTGAGCCACGCGGGCAAAGAGAAAGCGCACGCTCGATTGCATACATAAAGGCGAGGACGACAGCTGTACGCAGAGTGACATTAAGCGTTGTACACCATGACAGTAGAATCCATACTCTAGCTACAAAAAAACTACGAAAAATCTCCTGTCCCCCCACCTTTGAAGTTCAAAGTAGCAGTTTGGGTAGGCTTCTATAAGAGGGAGTACGGTATGCCTTCAAAATTAACAATATGATTCAATTAAAAACAAAAACGTAGCTATTGAAATCTTCTAGGCAACTGTATTGACCAATTCTGTCCGCCTGGAACATTTTGTGATGAGCGCCCTGGTCCATGCCGCAATCCCCCATGTGCCACAATTCTGGCTTGTCTTCCAATTGAGGCTAATGGTAAGGAACTTCTCAGAATTCGGAATATCAGGCTTATATTTTCAGGTTGTGCCCGAATGGAATGCCAAGCTCCCAAAGTCTGTGTAGAACGAGTCCGCCCATGTATTGGCAGGTCTTGTAAGGAAATCGCCACCTGCGAGACGCCAAACAGTAAGTTGTATAGGGTTCAAGCTTTAAAGGCGCATATCTCAAAAACTATGGTAGCTAGGAAGAAGTTGTAAGCTACAAAAATGTGTAACGTTTTATGTTCTAAATGTTTACAATTAGCCAATTTTTGATAGCTACTGTAGTTTTTGAGATATGCGCCTTTAAAGGTAGCGTACTTCGCGCGCCGTCCTTCTTGCCCGCTCCTCGTCCCCTCTCGGGTTGAGCGGTGGCAGTGCTCGAAAGTATGCTACTTTTAAGGCGCATATCTCGAAAACTATTGCAGTTGGCAAAACTTTGTTAACTGCAATCTTGTTAAGCATAAAATGTTACATTTCTAACAATTTTTAGTTTTTTAACAGCTATTGTCGTTTTTGAGATATGCACCCTTAAAGATGGTGCACCTAGATTACTCCCCCGGAAGGCATGCAATTTTTAAAGGCGCATATCTCAAAAGCTACGGGAGAAAGGAAAAAATTGCAAGTTCAAAAATGTTTAAAATGTTGCTGTGTACATTCTAGCAGTTGATTACTTTTTTCTAGCTACTGTAGCTTTTGAGATATGTGATTTTAAAGTTAGAATACTCCGTCCACTTCTTGCCCGCTATGGTTGAGCGGTGGCGGCCTTAGAAGGCGCATATCTCAAAAAGCGTTACAGTTATTGTCGGAATAAAAAAAGTGAGACTCGGTGTTTGCGTACTTTGATTCCCGCCTCCCCCCACCGACGCTCCGCCCATCGCTTTGCAAACGCGACGTGGTGTTTTGGCGCCACTTG